ATAAAGTAATAAAATCACTATATGCTACATAACAAAAACACTAAATTTAAGTTTTTTAATAAAATATTACAATCGAATGCGTATCTACCATTTAAAATCCCATACCCTGTAAAAAATTCCGCATCATATAACGATAAAAAATATTAAGAAAATGCTTATAACTTCCGAAAAACATAATAAAATCAGTATTATGCTACACAACAAAATCACTAAATTTAAATTTTTTAATAAAATATTACAATCAAATGTGCACAATTTAAAATCACCTACACTGTAAAAATACACGTGGAACTCAAAGTGCCAATACTTTTTACCGTATAATACATTTTTGCCGGAACATGTTACGAAACAAAAAAAGTCTGATATATCGTACAGTAACAATTACAGTAACAATTACAGAAAAATCACTAAATCACTCTAATTAAATAAATATTATTGCAAAAATTACGGTAAAATATATTGCGGTAAAAGTAGATTTATGGTAAAATGACACCTGTAGAAAATTTTGTATCATATTACTGTAAATAAAACACAGGTACTAAAAGTGCCAGTACTTTTTACTAATCCATTTTAATCAAAACATGTTGCGAAACAAAAAATCTGATGTACCGTAGTTTTTACAGTAATTTATAAGTAATATATCGTAATTTTTACAGTAACAATTACAGTAAAATCACTGAATCACGCTAATTAAATAAACTATATTGTAAAAATTGCGTTGTAATATATTACGGTAAAAAGGATTTTATGGTAAAATGGATTTTACTGTTGATGCAACCAAAGTGCCGATACTTAATAAAGTAATTTGACCCGAAAATTTTTGCAGTGGACTACTTTATAAAACACGAGTAATATATCTAGTAAAAATTATTTTAAAAAAAAGCTACTCACCATTTTTTTTTTAAAATATATTAAATTAATACTGGTGTACTATAGAAAAAATGAATTGAGACTAGTAACTGTGTTGGTATTTTCAGAAATCCGCAACTATAACTTCCGTATACTCGTGATTGAGGTATTACGAAGGATATTTGACGTCGCTTTTATCATAGTGTGAGAGTAAGGATTTAAATTTATAATCGCACTTTGTTACCAATTTTTTGCTGCATGTTTTCTCTTAATATGTTAAAGTTAAGGACAATTTTACGACCGAGTTTTCAATAGCCGTTGAACAAGCTTAGAATTATCTATTCCAAAAAATTTTAAATATATTATAATTTGTTTAAAAAAAAAAGCATTTTATTCGAAAATCAGAGAAAAAAAAAGAATTTAGTGGTAAACAGTTTCGTTAATAATGTAATTAAATTGTTGTTTACTCACTATAAGTCTTAAGACTGTGCGTGTCTTTGTATATTAAAGTTTAGGAAGAATCTTATCTTCTTTTCTATAAGCATTAAGTTATACGGCTTTAGACTTTAATACACCAAACGTAAACGAACAAACAATAAAAATATGTGTATAACAAAAACTGATTAATATCTGTTCATTTATTAAAAAACTGCTATTTATAAACCAGAAAAAAATATTTTTGGTGCAAAATATTTCATGCACTTAGTTAATTGTTTTCTCTCCATTAATTTTAAGAGTGTTTTTGTGTCTGTTGACTAGAGCTTAGAAAAACTATTTTGTCAAGTTTTAAAGTTTAAACTAGTTTTTAACTTTTAGACAACTTAAGAACTGAAATAAAAGTAAACATTCCGAAAAAATTTTTTAGTTTTTAATTTATTACAAAAAAATACGTCACTTAAAAGTCAGAAAAATTAAACAAAAGTTGAGTAATAACAAATAAATTTTCCTTGTCGTTTTCTGATTATTACATCTTTTCAGACTGCTAATGTCTATGCTTGTTAAATTAAGAAAAACTAAAAACTTTTAGTTTTCTACAAGTAATATGCAAAAACTAGCTTTTAATTTTTTCACAACTTGCAAACTGAAACTGAAGTTGCATTTTCAAAATATTTTTAACGTTTCTTAATTCATTGCAAAAATATGTTATGTTATCGTTCGAAAAAGTGATCTTTTGGGCAAACGGTTATAGAAATAAATTTAATTTTTCCATTATCGTTATTCATTAAAAAAATATCTATTGATATTATCTCTATATGTGAAAATTTAAGAGAATCTTATAGTTACATTTTCTATAAGCAATAAGTTAAAACAAACTTTCAATTTTTACACAACTTTCCAGCTAAGATTAAAATTAGATGTTTAAGAAAAGGCTAAGCCTCTCTTAATTCATTTTTAAGAAATGTAATTTTAATAAATTTATCTTTGATACAAACAATTTTATAAATATTTTTTATTTTCTGTTATTCGTTGCTATTATTTCGGTATGCCTCCTTGCTAAGCTTTCTATTGGCAATTTGTTTGTTAGCTTTTGACTTTTGCACTTACAAATTAACAAATGTTACTTACAAATTAAAATTATGTTTATAAGGAAAAAGGAAAAAGAACTTTAAGAAAAAAATTTCGTAAGCAAAGTTTAAAACTGGCTTTAACATTCAACGCAACTTTCTCATTGAGATTAAAACTATAAATTTCAAAAATATTTAGTTTTGATTTACTTAATTCATTTTTGAAAAAATATCATTTTGAAAAAAACTTTTTGTGCTAATGATTTCATGAATAAATTTTATTTTTATTTTTTGCGTTATCCATTATCAAGAATACAAATTTTATTGTCAAAGAGTCTATAAGTAGTAAGTTAAAACTAGCTTTCAACTTTTACGCATCTTTCTAATTAAAATTAGAATATATATTTAAGAAAACAAACGTATCTTAATTCATTTTTTAAAAAAATATAATTTAAAAAGTTATCTTTTGAGCAAATATTATTTATTAAAAAAATACGTTATTTCAAACTCAGAAAAAGTAATCTTTTGAGTAAATGGATTACATTTACATTACTTGATTACATTTTCCATTCTTTCATTTTCCATTTTTAGATTACTATTATCTTTATATTTATTATCTTTGTGTCTTAGTAACATTTTATAATCTTTTACTTGGTGAAATACTTAGACAACTTACAAAACTTGGAAAATGTAAAAAATTTTGCTTGGTGAAAAACTGTCAATATTTAAAACTTCATACCAAACATTTTTACTATAATTAAACTATACGCTTTAATAATGGAAATAAATTATAACTATATTCGCTATTGCATTGAAATTAATTTTTTCGTGGAATTTTGTAACAATTATAGCTGTTTCTCCATTTAATCAAAATAATTTACTTAATACTTTTAAAAACATAATACTTTTAAAAAATTATCCATCTTATATTATAGTAATTATTTGGCAGTTTCTTGCAATTTTAAGTACGGCAACAGTAGAATTCAAAATTCTTATATCATTTCTTCTTTTTATTTAAAAGAAAACTTTGAGAAAAAAATATTTTTTGAAAATTTATAATGGGTGTTAAAATGAGCTAAAAAGAACAACGCTCATTTTATATTATTTAATATTGAATCCAACAAAACTAAATTTATATGTTTACCACAATTTCACAACTTAAATGATTAAACGTTTTGAATCTAATACCAATTACGTTAATAAGTACTTTTTCGTGTTTCTCTGTATTCGGATAAGAAAATCGCAACAGAATGATAAATAATTGCTCTTAAGACAACGGAGAAAGTAAATTCTCAAAATTAATTAGTTACTGAAAATTTCTCATTGACTTATCAGCTGTTATTGTTAATGCATGTTAAATAATAAACTGTATTACTTTTCACGAGTTGAATTTGTTTTTATATCTATATTTCATGTATTTTACCATATGGAGCTTCCATTTATTTTGTTAAGCATCAGTTATGCACAGAAAAGTTCCCACACACTGTTAGAATTTTTATTCTAAAATTACAGTAAAATAACCGGCAGCAGTCTTTCCAATGCATTGACCGTAAAGTTTACGGTAAGGAACATTTTTTACCTTTACAGTTTTGAAACCGTTTAAAACTACTGTGGTTAAAGGAAAACATAAATACAAAACTATACGGTTTCTTCACCATTTACAACTAGCATGGTTTCAAATCCGCAAAAACATTTAATTGGACATTAGAACAGGGCTTTTCTTTACGCTCTGTGCAATGGAGTTAGGTTGTGGTTGAGCTGTGCTTTATGAAAAAAACCGTGGAATGTGATTTAATAATTTTTCTGATTGTCTCACTTATCGAAGGAGTTGTGAAATACTCGACTTTTTCGTATTGAGCAGGTTTATGGTGCTGCCATCTATTCATGAATGAGACTATCATTTTTTAATAGTTCAGGATCACAAATTAGGTAGGCGTAGTTAGTGCCTAGTTAAAATTCTGGTTGTTCCATATTAGGTGAATACAGTTAATAAACGATTTTTCTCACATTTAATAGTTTGAATACCATCTTATTTATGGTTATTTGACTATCTTGTTTGAATATGATAAAATAACAATTAAATGATTTTTTTTGTCGTATGCCTGTGGGCAGTGTGTATGCAGTGGGAGTGCGATTGTTCCTGTTTTTCAGTGGCGCCATCTATGGCCAGGAATTCGCCTTCTGCCAAGCCATTCACACAACCACAACCCGTTTATAGGGCGGGTCACATTCACATACAAAGGAGAAAGGACATAGAACACACAGAGAGAGAGAAAGAAACATCCATGCCTTGCCCGGGATTCGAACCCAGGACCTTTCTGATGCAAGGACAGTTCAATAACAATTAAATCGTTATTTAATCATGTTTTCGAAGAATTTTCTAACTGTGCATGATTGCTTACAGGGTGTCCCCTGATGAAGTCCTGTATTGCATTAATTTATTATTTTGATCTATTTCAGTTAACTTTTCGATTTCAATTTCATTATAATTAGTTTTTTTTTTTTACAATATACTTACTTCATTAACTACTCAGAATATTTCATCTCAATGACACATAATATCTTCCATAAATTATCAACCCGAGAAAGAGGAAGAATTACATTTTACTGCTTCATCTAAAACAAATATTACCCAAAAACCTTTCTCACGATTCGATCAAATGCTTCATCGATTGAGCTTTTCCTTTTGGCGATGTTTCAATATACTTTTACCCCACGTTTTTAGTGAAAATGGTAAGTTTATATAGTTTTTACTACTACAAGTTATTGAAGAAATGTAACAAAAATCAACCAAAATAATTCAAAATTTTCAAGTTTATTCAATTTATTAGTCTTAAATAATTTCCAAATAGATGGGATTAATTAGTGATGTTTATTGTTTTTAATCAAAACTATAATTTAACAGCTGTGTTGAAATCTATCAGAAAACATTAAATTTTGGCGCTATTAAATTAATGAAGGAATGTCGTGATTTATGCAAATAAAGGTATAAAGATTTTAAGGAATTTCAATTACATAATTTCTTAATAGTCATTAACTGTGAAATTTACACAGAAAGAGGGTTTATTCGTTCTTGTTGTGATTGTTTTATTGTACTAGTATATAGTTGAAACCCAATAAAAGTTAATGAAACTGATTATAATTCTTAACTGGTTAAATTTTTTGTCTGCGTGAAATTCTCTAATAAAAAGTTTGGTTTATTCATCGCAAAATTAAATCGGGACTTTCGACATTGCCAATCTAAGCTATCAATATTTAATATTTTTAACTTTATTAAGTACTATTAGACACTTGTTTAGAATTAATTTCCAACAATAAATACTCAAAAGTTTCGAGAATGTTTTTAGATTTTTCAAATTGACTTAGCGAGGTAACTTTTGAAATAAGTATCAGACTAACTTTCTTGAGAATTTTTCAAAACGTTTGTTAGAGATTTACTAACATATATTTGTTCTACATCAGATTGATTGGTTCCACAATAATTACTTGAACGACAGCAGGGTTAACTCTTCGGTGTTGGGATAAAGACAAAACGTGACGTAACTGAGTAAAATGCATACGTAGCTCTGTGGTTCGAACCTAAGTTGTCTTTAGGATTTTAAAATATTTATATTCTAGTTTGTTTATAATTGTGTGCTTAGTTTTATTTATAAAGTAATCTCCTAGAATACGTGCAGGGTCTAATATTTAACTTAATTTTTTAAAGCCTAATTTAGAGTGGCCTGGAAAGCCTGGTTGGCAGGGCGCAGGACTCCTGTTCGTGAGAATGGGAGTTCAGATCCAGCCGGTCGAAGACTCCCCGTGTAGTAAATGGTGACTGGTGCACGTTAAATCTGTCAAGTCACAGAGTCCTCCATGTTCCCATAACAAATCGATAATTTTGATTCATTATGGGAACAAATCACATAACAAAGTTCCCATAACAGATCAATAACAAATCAATACTGAATTAGAGATTGATCGTTATCTGGTTCAGGTCAAAATTGCGATCTGTGGATGAATGAATGAATGCATAAATGGCCATAGATGGCGATACTGGTAAACATGAATAATCTCATCCCCTCTTCCTTAATAGCCGACCACAACAACAGCCTAATTTAGAAAATCAAAACAATTTTAAGACAATTATTGGAACAAAATTAAAGGCATAATAAACGTTTGAAGAGCAACTAATGCGCATTCGCTTTGCCTGGAACAAAATAATTGTAATTTAGAATTACACCTAATGCACTAAAGATCTACAACAGTTGTATCTTAAATTGTATCTTACAGTTGTATCTTAAATTTCAGTCATTCCACGTATTTAAACAAATACTTATTCAATTTGTTCATGGTAAAACGTAAGTTTTTCAAAATGAAATAATAAACTATATAAGTTATAAAATTTACACTTACTAGTCTACACTTACTAGTATATACTTACTAGTCTACACTTACTAGTCGACTCTAACTAGTATAGATCTACACTAGCACTAGTGTACAAAATTCAGATTCAGACTAAATTTCAGATTTGATGAATGAAGATTGATATAATTCTACTAAAATAGCCATTCAATGGTTATAAGACACAAGCTTTGTAGTGTGTAACTTCCAATGAAGTCCGAAGGTATCAAACAGAGTCTCCAGAAATAAACAAAAGGAAAAGGTTAATTAGGTTAAGCTTTATTATGGTTAATTGATTAATTATAATAATGGTTCATTGGTAATAATAATTGTTAATTGGGGTCCCTTCTTACGCATGCCCACAGGCTTTACATCGTAATTTTATGCTGAAAATAAGTCGATTTAGAACATAAACACTAAATTTACTAATCAGAAATTGAATCCAATTTACAAAAGCAAAAAAAAGAGACAAAGAAGTAAATCTAATAAATATAATTCTCTTACGTGGCTCCCAACTTTTGGCTGTATTTCTTTTCCGCCGGTGGCAACGTTTGCTTTTTTTTGTTTACGTTACTATTTCTCTTAAACGGCGAATCGACCAATGATTGCCGCTAAAAATGTCACGTGCCAAATCTAGCTGAGGTGGCTCAACATATAGCGCTTTTAAAAACGGAAACTGAAATAACCTGAGAGCATCAGCTGCAGCAATCTCATACTATTAAGCTAGGCAGAAGTGAGTAGTCTTTGTCGATAGATCTCTATTTTAGTATTTTGTCGAAAGCGCTTTTTTTTCACGAATTTATATATTACGAATTTATTTGACGATTATTGATTTATATCACGAATTATACTATAGCACATTTCTAATAGGTTTAACGAATTACATGTCATATATTTGAATTCAAATTTATTTTAATGACTTAGTATTTACTAAAAAGATGTAATTTTTTTTTTAAAGAAAAGTTTTTATATGGATTTGAATGATTGTTTTGAATTCTTAGAATTTTGTGCATTTGCAATGTACCTAAGTTAGTAGCGAGCGAAGCGAGCTTGGTTTGCGAAGCAAACCATATAAGATTGCGTAGCAATTTTTGGGGGTTGGCGAGCGTTAGCGACCAGGGGGCGCAGCCCACTAGTTAACAATTAAAACATTAAATCAAAATGGAAAAGCGTCTAAAGCAGCTAAAACCAAATTTGATTTATTTTAATTTATATATTCAAACAGACATTAAAGCAGGAAAAAGTAATAAAATAGAATATATGTGTGTTTGTAAGACAGCGCTTCTTCAGGGTCTACAACACACAGGAGCCTTTCTGTTGTCCGTGGAAAAAACTAAAGCTGACAGTAAAACTGAAATTTACTGTAATAACACGGCTAAAATAAACGTAGAAAAAATTTCTTCTTGTTTTTATCTGTGTGTTCCCCTCCTTAATAAAGTGTTTCATATTTCAGGAAAACTTTCTTTATGCCATCTGGATTGGTACTGTTATCTCTTTCATTTTCACCTTCTTAGTGTTTGCAACTTGTTATCATGGGATTTTCAAACCGGATTACAGGCCAGGATATAAATCTATGCCTTTTTTGTGGTTTCCAATGGTATACAGCGTCTACAAAAAATCACAGAGAGCTTTCATTTTGTCTAAGCAATGTGAGTTGCTATAAATATCTAATTAATCTTCTATTAAGTTCAAATATCGAGTTTTGTTTTTAATGTTTTTATTCCTACCAATATAATTTCCCTTTTGTTTCTCAATATAAACAATGTGATTTGTCCTTATATAGGCATACTGAAGACTAAGAATCGAAAGATATATAAAAAGCCCTACTAATACTTTTTCGCGTTTGTATCACGTGATAAATGTTATTACATGGCAAAAATGCCAAAAGTGTCTGGTAGGTTTCTGAGAGCTGGACAAAACATATCAAAATTGAAAACAACCTTGTATTAGTTTCATTGATCAACATTGTAACTGCTAAGACAAGAAGCAATCTTAATTTTTCTTGTAAACAGCGCTAAGCTAGTAATATGTACTTACACTGTCGATTCTTAGTTTTTTAATAAAAAATAAGTCAATTTTACTTAATATAAAAAAATATTTTGAAGAAAATGTTGTTTCTAGGCTCGGTTCAAACTAAGACTAATTTTCCCACCAGCCTCAGAGTGTATCCATCACAATTAAAAGTTCCTACTGTTTGAAATTTGGTTTCCTTCATTTTTTTCAAAATACAACGCATATATCGGTTGACTCAGAAATGACCTAAAGTTTGAAAAACCATTCAAAGAGAAAGGGAAGAACCAATAGAAATGAACAATTTGTTACATCTGACAAGTGAATTCTCTCCAAATTTATGACAGACGAATGAATTTATTCTTACCCAATTTATTACAAATAAAGTTTGTCAAGAGATGGCGTTCCAGGTAGAAAAAAAAATGCAAAGAAAGTATTTATGCTGCGTGTCGGATTACTCCGGGTGAAATATTTGCCCGAATGTCAGTTAATTTTGCAAACATTTTTGTAAAACAATGTTTTAAAAGCATTGTTTTACAGTTTTTCCATTTCGCAGCGCCATCTATAGACAAATTTATTGACTAATTTTAAAACTTGATAAGTATGTATTAACAATTTTGCTAAGCAAAAAGCAAACAATGGACCGTTTCTATATTTTTCCGTTGTTCTTTAAACGATTTTAAAACTATCGATAATTTCGGGACAACCGATATATAACTTCACTATTCAGCAGTAGAAACTTATAAATAAAGCAATATAGTAATTTAAATTTCGAATATTTACTAGTAGTGTGCTTTGCTTCCTAAATCTACCGATATTCTGTTTGCCTCTACATTTCCTCTTACGAGCATAACAAATCTATAAAGATTTGTACATTGATTACAAAAAGTTTTGGATTTGTAAATCACGTAAAGAATTATAAAGCAGTAGTCTCCGCTTAATATAATCGCGGTTAATGTTATCAATCGCTTATTATTATCAAAATCACTCCATCTGAACATTTTCTATTCATTTATACAACAAAACTGTCTTTTTCTGTGATCATTATATTGCTTAATGTAATCAGTGATTTTATTTATTTATTTCAATATTATCCTAACTGTCAATGAAATATTCACGACGTATTCACTTAGAACCCGTTCTTTTCTTTCCAAAACTTATCGTTTGAATTTTCCAGCATTCACATCTCGGTGGTCTTTCAACTGTAGTTGGACAAGAGTGGGTGATTGGCTATTAACAATAAGTAATCAATTTCATCATGTCTCATAATATCTGGGTCTTATCTGAACAGAGAAAACGCGTCGATATTTTATGCCCTGCTCGCATACATAGAATTTGACAATACGGATAGCGTAAAACGAATGATTTAACATTAAAACAAAAGATCGATATTTCGAGAGTAGATTCTATGTACACAATTGTAAGTCAAGTATTTGGGCCTGCGCTTTTATTTGGTAGGTTATCTTATATCCAATGAGGTATTGTGCAATAAAATTGAAAATTTATTGAATATTATCGTCCATAAGCATCAATTAATCATTACTTAACAACACTACAAAATCGTGCACAAAATGTTTTGACAAATACCTACATAAATACTAAAGCTAAATAATATTGCTTGCGGTCAATTATTTCTCAAGTGATTTCAGTCTCCTAGTCGGATTAATTTAAGAAACTACTCGTGTAAACTGTTATAAAATTCATGTATGTTTTTAGTTGTATATTAAAGATGGTTAAGTTTGATGTTAAAGATGGTATAATTTATATAAATCTGAAATTTTATAATATTTAACATCTATTCACTTCGGTTTTGTTTAACATATCTCGAATTATTATTAATATTCTCTCTTTTTTGTGTGTATTTTAGATTAGCAGAGTAATTTTATTTTAAGAAATATTGAATGTATGCAAAAGTTAATGACTCTTACGCATGTAAAAATAAACTATTCTTATGTGTACCATATCGTACATTAATTACAAATTCCCGTGTAATGGAAATGGTGGCAGTTACTTTACACCAAGTAGTGTAAACGATCACTCCTATTGCTTCTCTATCTATAGAAACTATCCTTGGCTCTTAGTAGTACCGTGAAACACCACTTTGGTGTATAGTAGTGTGATGCCAGAATTGGCATACACATATTTATTTTCTATCTTTTAAAATATCCTTCATTACTTAAGCTTATTTTTATTAATGGAAGAATTACTTTTAAAATAAATCAAAAACTTAATCTTTTTAAGCGAACATAAAATATTTATTTCTTCTCTTCCAGATCAATGTAACGGATACTTTCTTTTTATTTCATTATTATGCAGACATATAAATTCACTGTCGCCTCTAATCGAAAACAAAAATCTATTTATAACTTTTTATTCTAATTTTCCAACGGCTAAATGTTTCGGTTGCATGGTTATAATAATTCACATAAATTTGTTGGCGACTCGTGATCGCCAAGGTGTTCTTTTTAACCCATGTGGATATGCTAGTTGGCTTTGTTTTTGGCTATGATATATTATGATAAATCGCCAAATTTTGGATCTCCTACCCATACTCTTTCTCTGTCCGTTGAGAATAAATATATTCACTTTGAATTTCTAAATTGGAGAGGCTGGGACCCCTTCGGGGGACTCCCAGTCTTAATTTTCTAACGGTCAGAAATGTTGTTCTGGCTTTATGATCTCTCAATAGAGAGTATTATTATTTCATCCCTTTAAGGGATTTCTTATTTTTTTGAAGAAGTGGCCACTATCGAAATCTTAAGTTATGATTAATAAAACCTAAATTTACATTCAACGATTTGTACATTATTTCCTGGAAACTCAACTGTTATTGTTTTATTCATTCAATATTGGCCTAAATGAACATTCATACATTCCACTATCAACGACACGCCTAATGAAGGAAGCAGCTAAGCTTTCATCATTATAAGTAGTTACCACCATTTTTTGCATCGAGTTACGCTACAATTTTTTACATTTTTTTCCTTATAATTATTTAAAATATCTCAGTAAACATACTTTAATATGCTCTCAACTTCAAATTAAATGCCTGTCCTCAGAGTAATATGTTTCGCCTGTAGACAGAAACAGTAAAAGCAATAATCTCATCCAGATGAAAATTATACGTTTTCACAGGTCAGGAATCTTTTCTCAATGTACCAAATTGTTAAAAGCTACAAAGAATAGCGTATATTTAGTGCTTCACTTTATTTATTTTGGAACTTTAGGTTATTTTTTTATTATGTTAGAGATCAACGCATCATCTCTGTAGACAATTCATGCATGCCCTAGTGATCACCCAGTGACCCGTGCGCTATAGTGATTACCTTTACCAAAAGGAAAATAAAGCAGTATTTTACTAACTACCAAAATGGTAGCTTTGTTTCAATTGGAATTAATTGGATGAAACTCTTTTTATCCTCAAATCGTATGACATATTTTGATGAAAAGAGAAACATTTAGTTAAAATGTTAAATATTTTTATTAATTCCAGATAATCTGCAATGTTTGAGCGGTATGTGTAAAATTTTTGAAAAACAAGGAATTGTTAGTTTTTCTATTTGTGGAAGAAACTATGTTTATCTTTTCACACCAGAAACAGTAGAGGTAACTATATATTTTTCATCTATAATTTTTAAAAAAACTTAATCGAACATTTTTTGAATAGAGGGCAAAAAACTATGATGGTTATGCGAAAAGGTTTTATTAAGTTAAGATTACATTCTTTCTAAAGTGAGCGTATACAATACATAACCAATAAGGGGCCAAGATATTATCTAGGGGCCTTTTCTTGATATTTCTTGATACATAATTTATAAGTAAAAAACAATTCACAATTAAAAAATCTGAGTTTTACATCTTGTGAGTACTTTAGAATGAGCTATTCTTAAGTGATCAACTCTTTCAACATATACAAGTACGTATGAATATAAACTAGTTGCCACCCTTAATGAAATTGAAACACTTTAAAGATACAAGAATTTACAAGTTTGAAGATATAAAAGTTAACTTTAATGTAGATCCCACTACAATGAAGCCTCTTTGCCTGTGTGCCATAACTTTAGACAAAATAAACATTTTGTGTGTAAAGTTGTGGCAACGAAATATATATTTACAGTTTGCACATATTGTAAATATGAACGAATACATATTTGCAATGAGTAAATCACTAACTGCTCCACCCTGGAATTAGGAAATCGAATGTGGAAAAAAGGAGGTTGAAGTAACCCCCAACAAAAAATCCCCAATGTTAATAGTTCATATAACCCCATATTTATATATGACTTGGAATATTACGAATAAAGGAAAATGAAAGTGCGTCGGGAATTAATAAAAATGAAAGTGTGCCATTAAGTAGGTGACAAATGCATGTTTCTATTTGTATCTAAAAGGGAAAACGGTTAAAATAAAATGAAAACAGACTCAATAATAATCAAAAAACAGAAATAAGGAAAAACCGATGAGGACAAATTGAAGGGTTTAAGTAATATAAATACGAGAGTAATCATCTGTTGATAACTTGAAATATTTGTTGTCATTTCATTCATGTGATAAAAAAACACAAAGTTCATGCTTCTTGTATTCTTTTGCTTTATCATCTATTTTTAATAAATTTTTAGGAACACAGTTCTAACTGCGGGGGAAGCTTTTTTTTTCTTCTGTTAATACAGAAAATATATTTCAACTTGACATTGACAAAAATCTAAACGTCGCTTTATAACCCTTCAAAGAATGCGTTATTGCTACCTCAATGATAGCAAGGATTATTTTCTGAATACCATTTGGAAATGCTCTAATAATTTTACGTCATTCTGAATAATTTCTGATTTTGGAAGCATTGAAATTTATAACAAAATTCGAACTTTGACCTTACAATATTTAAATTCGAAGAAAAAAATTAATACTTTCCACATCATCAAGAGTTAAATGACCGTTTTCTCTTTCAATTTTGATATTAGATCCTAGATTAGGCAAGCTACCTGTTTTTCACCGGTAGTTAGGGACGCGTTTTACAAAATTGTGTTTTTAATTTTATTTATTAATATTTTTTTCTTCCAGTTAGATGACACAAACACAATTCAATTAGGTGAAAGCGTGAATAACAAATTCTTGGACTCCGGTTCCTTTTTGCAGTAGTGGTTGGTATACAAAAGTTAAACTGTAAAATGTATGATATCAAAGAAGGTGGAAAATTTCTTCAGAACGGGCTTAGTTTTTAGGATCAAGAGGTCCCCTTGTTGTACAAATTTCAAGACCTAGCACAAATGCTTCTGAAATTATAAGAGAAATACACACACAAGCCCTTCCTTTTGTTATTTTATGTAAAAATTAGTTATAAATGTAAATATTGTTATAATATTAATTTATATGATTGTACTGAATTTCTGAGTACGTCTGCATAATTATTTTAGGTTCTGCTTACAAGCACCAAATTAATTTATAGATCAAGTGATTATGATGTTTTAAGGCCCATGCTTAAAGACGGACTTTTCACCAGGTGAAGACAAAATTTTGTTCTTTGAATAATTATTCTGATAGTGCATCTTTTTCTTTGCTATTCGTAAGAGCTACGTTTTTCTCTTTTCTTATTCTTGAATTACTCTTGCAAGGAAAGAAAATTTTTATCATTTAAATTTGAAACGCAAGAATATTTTTTATGTTCTTGACTTCATAAGTAATCAAAAAAAATAATAATTGAAGTATACTAAATTTTTTTTAAAAAAAAAGGGCACAAGCAACTAATTTTAAATTTTTCCCTCCGTTTCTTGTTCATGTCAGTGAGCTTTTTATTCTAGATACAGTTCAAAATGCTTGCTAAAGAAAATGAAGGCAGCTCAATAAGCACGTTTAAGAGAATGGACACAGCTTAAAATGCATGTTTAAGAAAACAGACGCAGCTCAAAATACGTATTTACGAAAATAGACGCAGCTCAAATGCCCACCTCGAGTTTAAAGGAACAAAAATGATGACGGAACAATCATAGAAGTTGGTATCAATGAAAAGTTTTGGTTTGAAGAAGGAAGTGGAAAATTTCCGGTGAAGAAGAGTTAATCTATTTATCATTAGTTGAAGAAGGCAGTATTTGAGGAATATTATCCTGCAGATGATGACTAACTTTAGTTGAAGGATGTTGATGAATCATTGTTAGCAATTACCATTCATTATCCAGTTATGATATGTCGCCTCTATTATACGATGATAACTAACTTTAGTTGAAGGATGTTAATGAATCATTGTAGGCAATTACCATTATCCATTCATTATCCAGTTATGATATGTCGCCTCTATTATACGATGATGACTAACTTTAGTTGAAGGATGTTAATGAATCATTGTAGACAATTACCATTATCCATTCATTATCCAGTTATGATATGTCGCCTCTATTATACCCTTCCTATTAATTGGCTGTTCGTGCGTAGTTGAAACTTACTTTTGGTCACCTAAATTGTCTTAAATCGTATTAAATTAACGCTTACTGGTAAATATTGTCCAAAATTGCATTCAAATAAGCCCAGAAATAGCTATTTTATCGTAATTTAATGATCTGTTAACCAAATTGCCTCCTAATTTCCTACATATAAATCATCTATTTCTGAATCTATTCGAATAAAATTTGACAATAGTTATTAAAGAACAAAACTTAACATAAAACTGAAATAATTTAGATGCATGAAAATATCGGTTCAAGTGCTCACGAACGATCAGTTCATGTCGGAATGGAGGAGTGGGGTCACCCATGGTGTCGTGTTATGATATACCGAGTCATGGGCTGCTATGCAATTCTCAAGCTTTATGATGTGCCCTAGCTCCACTTCACGGTTTTAACTGCTGTTCTAAATCCCTTTGTATATTAAATTATACTAGAATTTCGATCCTACGAACACAAACGTATGTTATGTTATGTTACGTTATGTTACATTATGTTACGCTGTGTTCCGTTGCGTTGTGTTACGTTGTGTTGTGTTACGTTGTGTTGCGTTGTGTTGCACTGCGCTGTGTTGTGTTACGTTACGTTATGTTATGTCATGTCATGTCATGTCATGTCATGTCACGTCATGTCATGTCATGTCACGTCACATTACGTTACGTTACGTTATGTTATGTTATGTATTTAAAGACATTTTTTGGATTTAAAACAGTGAAACAACTTTTTGCTACACTAAATTAATAAACTTTTTGAGTAATGTTAAGTGCCGAATGTAAATTGTAATACAATGACACGAAATGTAAAACAAAAAACCTACCTTTAGAAAACTATTGAACATCAAAACACGGTCTATTAATAAGGAATAGTTAAAACCTTGTTTAAGAAATTCCATGGAAAGCTGGGGGAGAAAACTTCGCATGAGGATTTTTTAGCACAATAACAAATCCACATCGAAGTGAACTTCAGATTATTTTTATTTGTTTCAGTAATGGGAATAAATGGCGGAGTCGCAGAAAATTACTGACACCAGCATTTCATTTTAAAATTCTCCATGACTTCGCTCCCCTGATGCAAGAAGCTTCACGGACATTCCTATCCGACATTGGTTGTTTTATCGATGAACCTTGGGTGGATATTACTAAAATCATGAGACCCTGCACGTTTTACATGATGATGAGTAAGTAAGTTAGATTGAAATATATTATTTTTACATCATGGAACCTCCTATTGAAATGAAAAAGAAAAATTAAAAATTACAAGTAATAAAGGGTGTACTCTAAATGCTATCCTAGTCTTGTAATTTCATAATCCCTGTTGAAAAAGAATGGTCAATAATTATATAATTACCTAGGTAATGTTTCAAGAACAGATGCTTAATAATGAAACATAAAACTGAAATAAAATAACAAACTATAAGGTAAAATTTACCGCATTTCCTGACTCTATGGGAACATCAAAAAGTGCTGTAATTTTTACCGTAGCTCTTTAGTAGTGACGTCTAGTAAAATTTACCATAAAATTCAGTTTTACTATCATACTCAAGGGAGGGGAGGATAAAAAGAGGAACAATTGTCCTAGGGCCCAGGAGAGGTGAAGCCCGGATCAAAATTCTTAATGAAAAATATAGTGTTTATTAATGTTTCTTTTTTAAAGAAAATGGAAGTCTTTATATCGAAAGAAAAACTACAATTCTGAATGAAGGACCTCCAAACATTCTACAAAATATGAAAATAAGGTTTATTGTCCCTTAAGGATGGGATCCACAATAATCTTTGTCCTGGGACCCATAAGGACTTTGTTCAGACTTGGACGTAGTTATCTTCTTCTACATCCTTATCTACACCTTAGATCTCGTGGGCCCAGCATCGACGCACATCAGGGGGGGGGGATTACAGGTTAGGCAGTATCAGTTTTTGCCCCACGAACAGAGGTTATCGAAACGAAACAGAATAGTACTACTTATCGAGATAAATCCTTACTCTTTCTTTGTCGGGGTATGAACCTTTATTAAATGTATAAGCTGGAATCAAAAATAGTTTACATAACTGTTATGACCATGTAATATGGATAGTTTAAAAGTAAGAGAAAACATTGGAGTGGTGACATGGTAAAACAAAATTATCTACACAGACGTCGTGAATCAATCAGCAACACAAAAAATATAGTAGGTCCTTCTTCTTGACTATTAAAGTGTATTCAGAGTTTGTTCGTAAGAAACCATATATATATAGATAAAAACATAATATAATTAGAAAAATAATAAAAAGTTTGATTGAAAAACGTAAAGATTCTCATTAGGACGCTTTTCTTTACGGCAGCAAAAGAGATATTTCAAAATAAAGAACAATTATCCTACGATAAAAATCAGAGTTTTTTACTCTGCACATTAAAATTTGAAATAATTTTATAAAAGCTGCAATTTAGATAATCCTAATAAATCAATTGATCCAGTATAAAAGGTTATGCATTCAAACTATTCCGTCTAGTGGCTTAAGGAATAGCTTATAGTAATTAGTTCCACCTTAGAATTAAATCAGAGCTAATCTTAGAATCAGAAAAAATAAATAAGTTTAATAAAATAAGTTTTCTAAGTGGTAAAAGATCATCAATAAATCTGGTAAAGAAGGAATTTGTCAAAAGATTAAAATATGAAATGATTTAACAATATTCTTGTAAAAAAAGAAAAATGTTGCAAACATTAGTACTAAAATTATTTCCCGTGTGTATGCCATTAATTTGATGAAAAAAACTGCCATAAAGTAAAATATAATTGCTGTTTAAATTAATATGAACGGGAAATTTCCAGTTCTCTTCATTAATAATATCATTAAAATTAAACAGGCTATAAATTTGAAGAAGGTCATCAAGAATTTTATTAGTTTAAAGGAAAGGAAAGTTTTGGAAATCAAAACAGCATAGAAACTCAATATTATTTAAAGATTTTAGAGCTTTCAAGACCTGTATGTTATTATTAATATTCCAATTCAAGTGGTTATTATTTTTAGTATGCTTGCTAATTTTATTGTATACTTTTTAAGAATATTTTCAAAGTGAATGCCAATTTTTACTATTTACACTACGAGCAATAAAAATTTAGTTGGGGTTTTATGGAATTTCGGATTAGCAAAAAGAAAATAAAAGTTGTTAATATTATTTGGTTTAATTTTAAGTCTTGTTCACCTTGGACAAGGTCAACAAGAATTTTCTTTTATTGTTGGAAGAGAATTTTATTAATTGGAACGGACAAATTATGTATATATAAAATAACATAATAAAGAAAAAAAGGATAACAGAACGAAAAGAAATAAGAAAAATTATAATAAGTTTTATTTACCGCAGATAAGCTGCAAGTACATAAAACTCATAAAATAAGTTAAAAATATAGAGAAAGCAAAGAAAAAGATATATAGATTTTTAAAGAAGAAGAAAAATTTATTAAAAAATGGTTTTAAAAAATATTTACAAATTTAAAAGCTTTAAAATTTTAAAAAAATACATGGGAAAAAATAAAACAAGGAAAAGATATCATCTCGTATTCAGCTGACATGATTATACCCAAAAAATAGTGCTTTCTATTATTATATATATATATATGGCTTACTTTCGTTTCATATTACCTATTCAAATGTATAAAAATAGCTATAATGTATAAAATGTATAAAAATAACTATACCCATACCCTCCAACTGCTACGGAATTTCCGTAGTTTCAGAAATCTTCTTTTCAGACGGTAGCAAAATTAATGTCTTAATATTTAAAAAAAAATTAATTTTAGCGTAACTTGTCCACTATTACTTATAAAAGTGCAGGCCATATGGCTAGATTCTTAAGTTCTGATAAAAGTTTTATGAGAGATCCATTTGCTTTAAAAATTTCTACTTTGGTTCGCTACCACTAGAAAGAATTATTTTCAAAATCTTCATAAGTTGGAGGGTATGACTATACCCATGAAAAATAATTTTTATGCAGAAAAATTAATTTGTTCTTCACAGAAGCATCGTTAGGTTTCGATACAGAGATCAATGAAGAGGCTATGGCTACTTTCAATTGCGCCGAGCAGTAAGTTATTTAAACTCTTAAGTTATTAATTAGCCTTTGAAAGTGATGAACCGTAACGATATGAGGAGAAACAAAATTTATGAATGAAAAAAGATACAATTTAAGAGTAAGTTAATCAAATGCGGGACAATAATATGATTTTTAGCTTATGAAAGGAAAAATTTCATTGTTTTTATATTTTAGTTTCTGATCATTAAGATCAGTTTAGACATGTGATCAACCAACAAAGGTAGTCAACAGGTTTCACTGTAGAGTGAGCAAAAACAAAACAAAAACGTATTTAACTTCTGTTTTAATGATCGGATTTTCATGTGCCAAGTGTCAATCTCAATGGTTTCTGGAAGCGACCTCAAATATGCTAATTATTTATTGCTAATTACAAAAACGTACACACAAAACGTGACACAAAAACGTACTTTCTCTGAATAATTATTTATTTTCTTTACATATTTGGAATCTTGACCATTAAATAGTAGGGGGTAACCACAATCTTGAAAATGTGGCCCATCTAGTTTAGTCGGAAAGGCGGATGAAAGTTTGGTCCCCTTAATGTTAAGATCACTTGTCGCGTTTTTAGTCATATCTTTAAAACTAACTGAGCAATCTAAAAAAAATTGCACACATTCATAAAACCTATGTACTCAAAGATAAATCCATGCAAACAATTATTTTTAATAATTATTTATTATTATTTAATTTAATTGTGTATTAAAACATTTTGAATTATAAGACACAAATTTTCTTATACCATATAACTCTACGCATTTTTCTATTACGAAACATAAAGTTTCAACTATGCTTATTTAGTAGCAGCAGAAAAAATTAAAAATTAATTATTTTAAAAAAATTTGGCGGCAGTGCACAAATATGTAAATGGGGAGATTATGATTCAAATGTGGTTAACTTACGAGGAACTTGCCTAACGCACGCGTAGCGTAAAATATCATTCATATTTTTACCGCTGCTAGCCGAATGTTAAACTATTTTTTTAAATTATGAAATACAATCTTTCTTTTTAAGTCGTCGGAAAATTTATTTGTAATTTAGCAAAAAGATTTGAATCAACCATTATAAATAACGAATGCTGAATTTTACCGTGCTGTTTTTGGAATCATTATCTTACAAAATTGTTCTCTTTTTAATGTTAGGTTTTTTTTAAAAACTAAAATAAGGTATATTAAGAATATTTTTAATATTAGGTATATTTATTATAGCAATATTACATTAGGCATATTTTTTTAATATTAGGTATGGAAAGGTATATTTTTGGAGCACAACTTGTCTTAGAACTGCAAATTATGTGTTCAGCAAATAGTTTTAGCATATTTTTTATCTTTTCAGAAATTATAAATAGAAATTTTTCTTGCCGCAAGGAGACAAGAATGTTGATATTTCATTGAAGCTCATTTGAACCGTGTCAAAGGTTTCATGAAACCCAGAACTGAAATCTGTTTACACAGAACATTTAATTGCTTAAAACAGTTAGAAACAATTAAACTAATATTTATTTAAACTGGAAGGAAAAGTGGAGAATAGGCTCGCTTACCATCGTACTATTTATGCTGGTTGTTTGGTTGGTTCTAATGCCACTTGCCACACGAGCAAGCCTGCTTGTTGAAACCGAGAAAATTTAAGGCAGAGTGTGCGATTCTTGTTTTTCAGTGGCGCCATCTATGGCCAAGAATTTGACTCTATTTATGCATTAAATCCTATAACTTCAGTCGCTGTAAGCAAAAAGGAAAAAATAAATAAGGAGTGCAAAAAAATAAACTCTATCGAAATATACTCTGAAGTATACCTTAAAATATACACAAAAAAAATGTATCAATAAATAAAAAAATACTTTTTCAAAAAATTTCCAGTAGAGCAGTGACATTAGTTTTTTCGAAATAATTAGTTTTTAATTGATTAAATTAATTGGTTTAATTATTTAACTTTGATTCCAGGGAAGAGGGGCCATTCCAATTGTCTCATTAAAATTTTGAAATTTAAATTGTAGACGGAATTGTTTAACATTCTTAAAAAATTTTACAGAGACGCAATCAAAAAAAAATAATAATTAATCTTAATCAGGATTAAACATGTTTCAGAATGTAATTTTTTGGAAAGTGATAGTAATTTTGTAACTAAAATGAATATAAATGTTTATCAATAATTATGAACTTATTAATCTAAAAGTGTCTCCTTAATTTCATTTTTTATTTGTATTTATGCTTTATAGAGATTAATAGTTCAATAACACACACAGGCTCAAAAACATTAAAATGTAATGACTTATTTCGTGTATAGCTAAGATATAATAATTGTAATTTAAATAATAGTCTTAATATCTATTCAAATAATATCACTGTTTACATAATTATAAATAGTCAACTAAATTAATGTCATAAAATCAAAGACTTTTTTTTTACTAATAGGACCTAACTTTAACTAACTAGAGCCGCAGTCAAGTAAATTCCAATTTTAACTAAAACTCCAAAGTCCTGAGTAAAAACCATATCTAGTAGCTGGCGTAAAAACAGATAAGAAGCTGGTATAATAACAGATAATAACTGGTATAGTAACAGATAAGAAGAAGATTGACTATTATGATTTTTAATGAACCTATTGTTTTATAATTTTCTGCAAAATCATAAATTATAAACTATTTTCTGACGAAAATATTTTGAGAAATATAAATTTAAACAATGCTATGTTGCATCTTTGCACAAATAATGTTTTCTTAAACGTAAAAAGTTCGAGATTAAATTGCAAATAAAAATTTGCATTTTATATTGCATTTTAAAAACGTATAAAAGATAGAAACAACTACAAAGAATCTAACTGTAAATCAGAGCACGTAATCTGTGTTATGTTGCCAGGTTTACGACTTGTTTAGCTGCAAGATTCGCCAGACCATGGTTGTTCCCTGATTTCATCTTCAATAAGACATCTTTTGCTAAAAAATGTAGAGAAAGTTGTAACCTCGTTCATAACTACGTCAGAAAGGTAAGTAATGAATAAATAAAAAAGATATATATTTTCTTCCATTACATTTTCTGCCTATTGTTATCTGCTCTACTAAAATAGTAGTTTTAGAACTGTTTCGAATGCTGTTATTGTTTCAGTGTATTTTATTCACTATTTATTTTCATTTCTAAAGTTTTCTTAAAAAATTTACAGATAATTTTGGACAGGAGGAAGTGTGCCATTAAAGAACGTCTATCACTAATCGGCAAAGAAGAACCATCAGTCTGTACTCAAAATAGTACAGAGGAAAATGAAATAAACTCATGCGTAAAAAAGATCAAAAATAAGTCCTTTTTAGACTTGCTACTAGAACTCCATTTCAACGATCCATCCTTTACAGTTGAAGATATCTTAGATGAAAGTTTAATTTATTTTGCAGCTGTAAGTATGTGTATCGATATGTTTGAAAACACTTGATTCTGCCTGAAGCTTCTTCAACTCAACTCAACTTTTATTTTAAAAGAATTAAAAAAGTTTGTGAACTTATATGATGATTCATACAATAGCCTGACTTAACCACTTAACAATCAAACCACTTAACACTAAAACTAGTTAAGAATCAAACGGCTGCAGCTGGAGTTATAAGAGCTGGTTCTAGGTGTAGTAAAAAGCCTATAAGATGAGACCAACTACAGCATTACCTGGTCATAAAGTGTGGAATTAGAGTTTCTTCAAACAAAAATAAAAAGATACAATGTGCTTATGGACATTAATGCAACGAAAATAACACTTAAAACGAGCCACATATATATTTATTTTAATGTGGGGAGGACGGAATGATCTTGTCAATAAAACAGTTATTACAAGATTTCTTTAGTATAGATTTTTAAACATCTCTCCCGTTTTGTACGTCAAAACGAGGTGTCTTGAGACAACTAGTTTATTATTGCTATAATTTCTTCCTAAGATCGTTTCGTAACGTCATAATGTAGTACATTTCGAACAAAGAAGTGATTTTAAGTGGACTTTTCCGAGTCCATAAGATGCTTTTTTGAATTAAATCAACTAAGCTTCCCAACTTTTTCCTCATATCTCGCACAAGAGAGACATCAACTCTGCCCTTTACCAATAGGTGGCATTGTAAGCTATCTGATCTAGTAGCACATTGCTTCTTTACCACACCTACTCTTACGTAACTACAGCTGCAGTTAAGAGAGTGGTCACTGATATTAACCGATACTGTGTTTATGAACGGAGTATGCTTGGTTACATTATCTAGTGCGAAAGCCCCGCGATTCTCAATCCACGAATCAAGGCTCCACGATTCTTCAATCTCACGATCCATAAACTTTTTATTTTATCTTATAACCGGCGTTGAACACTCGACCCTATTCCGAGTTTACAACCATCAATGTTCACCTCCGTACCCTTGTAATTTTGAACCCAATCCAGAAGACAAGTGACCTCCTTAATCAAGCATTGGGACTAACTAGCCTTTGTGGAGGACTTTTTTGATGGAACTAACCAGCATCGGCGTTACAAAGAGAGAACTGTAGTCGGTGAGAGCGGGTAGCAGACTACAGCTGGGAGTTGAACCTGGGTCACTTCAAAGAGAAGCGAATACTCTATCCCCTAAGCCACCGCTACTCCTAACCACAAACTTGACAGAAAGTGCTTGTTTGGTAGACGAAAGGAACACGTTTAGTTCATTTTCTAAAATGATTGCTGAATCGGTTAACGCTGAATCGCCTATGCATCGGTCCAACGCTGATTCGGTTAACAAGCACTCTATTTACTTTTTTTTTTTATTTGGAGTGGTACCTAACAATCCAATGACTTACCTAACAAAACTTATTTTGTTTAGGCCTCTGACGCCTTAGGTATGAGCATGTCCTACCTGTTATATTGCATTGGATTGCATCAAGACGTTCAGAAAAAAATCCACAAGGAGTTAGATGATATCTTTCAAAACACAGACAGAGAAGCGACACTTGAGGACATTAAATCGATGAAATATCTAGATTGTGTCATCAAGGTATAATTTTTTACTTATTTTTACGATAAGTATACATAAAGTATGCACACTCTATCATTACTTAGTGTTTCTAAGTTGTTATGGCTTATTCTCCAAATGTCTGACGATTCAGACAAGGTCCGTCAGACCGTTGACCCTAAAGAAATCGAGGACCAGAAGGGGGAATGAGTATATGTCCTCTCTGGAAAGTCCCAAACAGTCCAGGATGTGTTCGGGAGAAGCTTGCTCAGTTTGAGATAAATGTTTCTAAGTAAGTTCCTTAAGAAAACTTCTATATCATGAATTCAAAATGACTCAAATATTATTACATCTTCCACCTAAAAATTTTTACTTTCAGTCAGTTGATTTAACCAATGAATTCAGACAAAAAAACTCTGTAGTTTTGTTCAGTAGAATATTAACTACACTGAATCTGCTATTAAATCTTGGTAAGAAATTTTCCAAGATTAGTGACTAAGACCAGACCTGGATTTTAGTGATTCATTCATTTATCCGGCAGTTCAAAAATTTCAGCCATTTAAATTTGTGTTTTAATCACTTGAACTTTAAAAACAAAATCTATGCATATTCGGTTTTCACAAAATTTCATTGACTAATAAATTATAAGTTTTAGATCTTATTAGCACTTTTTAATGCTTGTGTTTATTGCATTATAGGAAACTCAACGACTTTATGGAGTCCACTTTCTTTCCAGAGAAGCTACTGAGAGTTTTAAAATTCGTAAGCATTGTAAATTACGTTGTAAATGAGCAAAGACATTTATTTATTTTTACAAATGTTTGCTTAAAAAATTACAATTTGTTTCTTGAAATTAAGAACAATTCTAAATTTAAGAACTCATGATTGAGTGCAATATTAAAAATAGAAACTTTTTCGATCAGCTATTGATTTAAAACAGAATTTATTCAGCTGAATATTTAATAACGAAAGCTACTTTGAAATTAAAAAAAAATTATTTGATTTTTTTCCGTGCTTTGACAAAGAGCTCATGTTAAAACAATACTAAACGCTAAAACAGCTAACGCCGATGATGTCACTGCATGTAGTATATTACCAATGTAGTTTACGTTGGAATTTGTTCTAACTTCATGCAGTTTACGTTGGACGTTACTCGAAATTTCTACCCGGTTGATTTTATCGCTTGTAATTAGATGAGTAGGAAACCGAAACTGTTATACAAAACTTCAGGGTTCTGGTGTTATTTTAAATGACATCTGGACAAGCCAACCTTTCCATCTGTTGGCCATTTGGCAAATTAAGTCAGTAAGGTGAGCCTTTCAAGAGAGCACGTCCCGCAGTGGCCTGATCGTAAAGATACGATTCCCCGTAGAAGACCTTATCACTGGCTGCGGTTAATAAGCGGGTAGGTTACCATTTTGATCAGCGTGCTTAGGGACCGAGGGTGGGCTGTATCGGTCCTCGTTAAACTGTTCAACCGTAAAATGCTCGACTTCGCGCTTAGGTCATCGGGCTACCAAAGCAAGGGAGCCACTCCCGCTGCAGAGGATCAAAATTGCGATGGCATGTCTTCTGATCATCCCGAGGGATGTTTCCCAGACCGTCGCCAATAGCCCATTGTGCTGCTCTAGTGCGACGTTAATAAAGTATCTATCTACCTTCAAGAAAGCATTGCAAGGGTAAACGTGTGTTTTAGCTCAGGACCCCACGAATAAATGGCAGCACTACTCATTCATGAGGCTACTTCCTCAGTTGAAACATAGATCTGAAAGGAAACTCTTTCCATATCATACCATGCTCAGTGACCGACAATAGAACTTTCGATTCCACAGATTTGACGAGCACGTACATCGCATACACTCGGTGGGTCTTAGCGGATTCGAGGATCGAACTCCAACCCCTCCGGACCGGAGTCCGATTCTATAATCACTGAACTACCTCGGCTCTTCGATGCTCTTTCGAAGTTTATTGAAACTAGATAGAAAGAAATTTTAAAAGCTACTAAGACTACTCATAGAGTTTTTGTTGATAAATATTTGGTTGAAAGGTTGGGAGACATACAACTAAATGCAAAAGGACCGCATTTGGCTCCCGGGCACGGGTTTTGCACCTCTATTTTAAGGATACGTTCTATTAAAAAATTTTATGTATTAATTTTGATAGTTAGAATATAGCTTTCCTGTTTGTTATAAAAGAATATGAATAAAATTGAATAATTATTTTTCTGATTTAAATATTAATATAGCAGTCTTTCTTACACCTTACTTAATTTCTCTTTAAAAGCATGCAGTTAATTTTGCAATCATGCTCCTTTATAGTGGATTACACAATTCCAAAAGGAAGCTGTGTTGTGGTTTTCTTGCATGTTATACACAGGCATCCTGATTTTTGGAAAGATCCCGAAAAATTTGATCCTTCAAGATTTTTTCCAGAAAACAGCAGCAGAAGGAATCCATACACATACATTCCCTTTGCAGCAGGACCAAGGAATTGTATAGGTAAAAACACAGTATAGAAAAAAAATTGTGATTTAAATCAATAATAATCTTAAAGAAATTAAATTTAAAAAAACTTTCAACAACTAAAATTTTTGAATTGAATGAAGATTAAATTATTTGTTCAAGTTGTACTCTCTGTGACTATAGAGAGTTGCAGGTGTGCCCCACTGAAATTCGGTCACCTTGATTATGTGCCGTAGATGGACTTGAAAGGAATCAACAAAAACGAAACATATATATTAAGAAAATCATATATATGTGACCGGCAAAGTATGAAATGCCAGTATTATATATAATGTCTAGGCATTATATATAATGCCTGACGTTTTTAGGCGAAGTATGAAATATGAGAAATATTACATACTTTGCCTAGGCATTTATAATGACGGATGCTATTTAGCCAAAGTATGAAATAACCGTCCTGATGAGGTTATTATGTAAATGATGTGCATGCTACTGTGAATGACCGAAATCGGTGGTTCTTGACTTTCACCGGTGAATGTTGACAATCACATAGTCGCTTTGGTGAATGTCCGAAATATTTATTACATCCGATTTGATATTAATTTATTCGTGGATGTAATTACATTTATTCGATATTTTAATACTTACTGACGATAGATTAGAAGAAACATCAGTGTTTGGAGAATCGGGCAAATATATACCGGGCAGTGGCCCTTGACCTTAAAAAGACATCCGTGTAGGATATACCGGGCAATGGTTTTTTAAGGTCAAGTGCCATTGCCAGGTATACCCTACACTGATGTTTTTCTTTCAGGGTTCAGTGCCACTGCCCGGTATACATTTGCCCATTTGACTGGTGTTTTCCATTGCGGCCCGCTGCCTCATGTAAGTTGGAAACCCCTGCATTATACGATACTAAAGTTATGGTTCGAAAAGTTATGGAAGTAGTAGAGAACGAAATGGACAATTAAGATGAGTTTTCGATCTTATCTCATACCACAAATAGAAATAGTTTTAATACTTCTGCTGCCATATCCCTAACTCATGCATGATTTAATGACTGTAGGAGATTTTAAATACTAAAACTCAATGCATAGAGCACTTTGGGGAGATCTCTTGAAAATAGTTACGATCGACATCTAAGTACTTCTGCCCTTGCAACCACCAGAAGGTGAAAAAATTAGGTTAGTTTAATTGTTTAAAACTAATTAAGGTGTTAAGATTGGAGGAACGGTTGAAGAATTCAACAATTAAAACATTTGTGCTGCCTCATTCGTCTTGGTTACCATTAAAGTTTATATGTTGTAATAAATAATTTTAAAAGGCGGCAAGTATTTTAATTTTTATGCTATAATAAATTTAATACTTTTGAAAAGCGTAATTCGAAAGCTTTAAAAGATATACAGGATGATTCTAAAAAGATGGGCAAAATTTTAGGAAGTGATAGTACACACCCAAGCAAACAATTTTTATGAAAGAATGCATGGTCGAAAACAAAACGCAAAGGTGCTGTCGCATTTGGAAAGTTGTTTGATGCAATCGTGAAAGTTCCATTCCTGTTGCGAGTTATTATTTGCATGTTATGGGAAGAAGAAGAGCTCGTATGCAAATTCTTCGTCGCGATTCATACATAAAAGCTGCTGTTCGAGTGCTATAATGTCTAAAAATATTTAAAAAATAATTGGCTTTTTGTGGGGACAGCTGAAGGCTCTTATGTATGAGACTCCCATTGAATCTGCAGAAGAACTTGTCGCCAAGCTTTCGGCCGCTGCAGGGAGAGTTCGTGATATGCCTGGTGTGTTTCAGAATGTTCGCCTATCTTTTCTTCGCCGTTGTATTTCGTGCATAGCCGCTGCCGGCCACTGTTTTGAACACTTATTGTAACCACATGCCATTAAATTTGCTTTTATAACTTAACTTCATCGTTCTTTGTGTGCTTTTGCCTCATATAAGAACATAAACTTTGACGCCCTCTAGCGGTTTTGCATTTTGTTTTCGACCATGCATTATTTGATAAAAATTCTTTGCTTGGGTGCGTACTATCACTTTCCAAAATTTTGCCCATCTTTTTAGAATCACACTGTATAGATTATGAAAGTTAGATTTAATTAGCTATACAGAAAAATGTATTTTATCTGTTTCTATTTTCAGCAATGAAGTTTTCCTACCTGATGTTGAAAATTGCAAGTTCTACCCTTCTCAGAAAATTCAATTTAAAATCACTTGATAATCGAGATGACCTGTACGATATCAACAGACTAGCTTCTGAGGACACGATCCCTATTCGGATCAGTTTCTCTGTACGTGAAAATGCAGGTGGATACTAAGTCTCAATTGATTGAGTTGAAAGAAAATTTGTATAAAACTTTGGAACATTATATTTTTTAACATGTGATTTGATTTTTCTTTTTAAAATTATGTACTTCCGTTTTTAAATAAAGGTGTGATTGCTGTTCTACTTCTTGGTGTTAAATAGACGAAAAACCTAAGTCGATAGAAAAGTTATTCACAATTTTGAATACTTTTTAATTTTATTTCCGATGGGCTGCACAAGTGAGCACACATGAGCAGACCTAGTGCGTTCTCCAGTAGTGGTATCCACTCTTTCAGGACCACCACAATGGGTGAGATACCGTTGGCCATATTAATTTGGACGTCTAGTTTCTGCCACACTAGATGGCAGCACCGAAACTCTTATGTGGATGCTAAAGTGCACTAGGAATTTAATTTTGCCGGAAATGCCAAGAGCCAATAAGGCACTCCAGGGATCTTTTACATGCCGCATAATCATACGACATGGCCGCTGAGGATTTTTTGCATCCCGAAAATCCGGTGTCTGGGCCGGGGATCGATCCCGCAGACTTGGGCTCGGAAGGCCGACGGCAAACCAACTGCGCCACAATTTTGAACATTCTATTTTTTATTTCTAACCTTTACAATTGGTTATTAAAATAAAATAAAAAGAACTTCTGCTTTTAAATGACGGCGCAGATCGTGAAGATTCCTTGTATGTGAAATTGCTGTACTTGGTATTTTATTCTTATTATCTTTGTATGCTTATTTTCTTGATATCTCAATATTTACTTCTTTTGATATGTTATGCAATAATTGCCCTTCTTTAATTTCATATCTTGTTAAGCATTAAAAATGTAAGAGAAAACATACACAATAGAAATGAAAATTGTGGTGAAAGAAATAAAAAGATATCAAAATCGGACGGATCATTATCAAGGCAATAACTCCGATCTAATATTAAATTTCTTTACAAATTGATTTCTTGGGAACTGCTCGCCCGATTTCGTTCAAAATTTGTAATTTACCTTATAAAATTGCATTCGTTAAAAAAATTTTTATACCTTCAAGGGTGATTGGGAGCCCAACTCAAAAATCCTGAAAATTTCTCCAATAAAATCATTAATTACGTATTGCAGAAAATTAACGTCTTTAGAAATTTAAATCATTGATGTTTTCGAAACATGACATTCTAAATAAATTATATGCAGCATAATTTAAATAAATAATTATGCATAAGTTTACTTTTATCTCTAATCACATTTATTATTCTACTAGAAAAAATATTTACAAATGAAAGAGATGCCAAGTATAAATTCGAGTTCTAATATTTCTAAATACAACAAAAAAAATTCTAATACATAAATGTGATCAATAATTTCTTGAAACTTTTGAACCTCGGATTTCCGGATCGCGTTTACCGAAAAATCCGGAATTTTTCCGGAGCACAATCATCTTTGTACCTCAGTATTCAAAAATTTTTTAATAAATTATTAAATGAAATAATAAATTAATAATAACTATTTTTTGCACGATGTTATATCTAGATAATTAAATTTTATAATTGTGTGCAAAAATTTAGATTTTTTTTTTTTTGAAAAAATAATTCCTAAGGTTCGATGAAATACCCAAAAAGTAAAATTTACATTCAAGGGTCTTAACAATTGCGGATACCCCCTACATTTTGATGATCAGAAATCCAATCCTTCGAGAAAAAAAAAAAAAACATATTTATAAAGAGTAAGTACGTTTTTGCATCCGATTTCTTAACTTAAAATATACTCTACACTACACCATCCGATCAATTTGTTCAGGGTAACAAGTTTTCCTTTCAAAGCCATTTTTTTTGGTCAACTATTTTAAGTTCTTGGCTGTTTAAATGAGTAAAAAGCAAATATTTTTACAGTTAATATCCAAATTCAAATAATATAACTTTACTACCAGCCAGATCACGATTTTAGCTTATCAAAATAATTTTTTAAATATATAAATTGAAAATTAGCAATTCTGTAATAAACAATCGGTTTGCATAAACCAAACTTTCAATACGGGTAGAAATATATGTTTGAAGTTAAAGTGGAATAAAATTTTAGGACGAAGGAAGATTCTCTAATAATTTTTCGTCTTTATCTTTAAAAAATCAAGTGTAGAAATGTTACTAATAATCAAAGTGGATGATGGTTTAAAATGAAAGGTTAAAAACGGTTGACCTTTGCAGATAGAAAACAATGCAGATAGAAAACCGTACACTGAAACATATCTAAAAGTAGAACACAAAGAAAACAAGTTTTAAAATTATATTGGAGTTATTCAATGAAAGTATTGTAAATATTAGTAGCAGTACTGGCACAAGACACAACATGCGATGTTGGATTGCATAGTCATAACGAAGTAATTAATAAAATAAAAAATTAGGGTGGCTAGATTATAGTTTGGCTAAGAATCCTCGAATCTTTCGTGAAAACCTCGTAAAAAGGTGTCATTAGGTATAATACTAATATTTAGTAAGTTTCAGCTCAATAAAATAATATTTAGACCCAAAGTCAAAGTTTGGGGGAAAAAGAACTATGTATTTTCCTTTTGCAATCGAAACTGATAGTTACAGAAACACAAATCTGGACTTTGTAAAAACGAATAGACCATAAGATAAAAGGGTACAGATTGATAAATTTTATTAACTGCTGTAAAATGACTCAAGATTCATGAATTTGTTACGATATTAGTAAAAAATATCAGATAAAGTCAAATGTGATTGCCATGCATGAAATAAATTGAGATTTAATAATATTAAACCTTTTTTTTTTTCCTTCCAAATAAGTTCTGTCGGTTATTTCCAAGAGAAGGTGTAGATATAACTTTTGAGAAAAGGGTTACATTTATAGTGGTGTCTTGTTTTACCTAAATGGCGAATATCTTTTTTCTGTGCAATATCTTGAAACTCAAAATAACTAAGATTTTGAAATTACCATGAAATGATCAATCAAAGGCATGAATATGAAATTTTAAATTAACTTCGATTATTTTCGCAATATTAATGTCCGAAATTTGAAAAAAGAATCTAAAATAGCAAAGAATAAAATATCTCTAGTCATCATTAAATCTCTAATTAATTTTATTCTATAATATCAAACACAATGCATTCCAAGAATAAAAAAAACGTGCTTCTTTTTTCAAGGTTGATAAATTCATCGCTTTTTACAAAAATTATTTTTTAATTCAATAAAAAAATAAAGTTCGCTAATTTTAAAATACACTTTTTAACCCAAGTTTAAATTTCTGCAGTATCAAGAGTAATTTAAAGCCCAAAAGATATTTACCCGACTGTATATTACCCATTTAAGGGACAAGTTTGGCATGGTTTATTCTTAATCAAGCACCGAGTAAAATTGGAAATTAACAGACAAAAGAATCCACAATACCTACTATTTTTTTGTTGTTGAAAACAGATCTGGGGTCAAAATTCTTAAAATTTTATTTTCGTATCCTGTAAGAAACGATAAATCCATATTTTTGTGTTGATTTAAATTTTTTATTTCCACAAATTGGGTACCTCTCAGAAAAACCCAGACAGACCCCTTTTCCTACTAAGTCTTCAAAAATAGAAACAATGCACAGACGATTTTCGCGTAGTTAATCCGAAAATTTAGAATCTAAGTGAATCGCAATGCGAAACTTTTAAATCGGGTAAATACGAAAATCGATTCGCGTTAATAAGGATCACAACATGCAACTTTGATAATACAAATGGTAAATACAAAAATCAATGTTTGATATTAAAATAGAGATTTTAAAAAGGCGTCAATACTAATATAGATATTGAATTTTAAAATCTTGTAACTAAGCATCGCAATGTACGATATTTAAATCCCGTGAATAGAATCGCAATGCGCAACTTCGAAATCTGATAAAAGTAGCGTTATAAGAATCGAGATATTAGCAGATTCTGTACTTAGGATTTCTAAAAGGCCTGTATTGTTGCTTGGCCATAATTAACAATTTACTAGATTTGAATGAGCAAATTAATATTTTCACCGCAAATCCACCACTATTGTTCTCTATTACTTCGTTTGGTTTCGTGACAGCTAACAGGAAGCAACGACGTCCGAATTACGAAAATAAGAGCTGTCAGTCGGAAAAAATCTTATTTTCTGTGCGTGAAAGTGGAGAAAATAGCTAGGATAAGTGAAAATGGGATGGATTGACAGCTAAGTCGTTTACATTTGCTGATCTTTGAAAATCGAAAAAATATATTTTATCTCAATGACTGAATTTTCACAAAAAGCGAAAAAGCTGAAATTTTGAGAGACTGAAGCGAAAATCTGCTAAAATCTCCTTCAGTCATGCATTGTTAGGGTTTGTTAATAATATATTTGCTAGTACTACTTCTACGACGAAAGTCAATAAAAAGAAATTCTTACTTTCATAAAAGTTCTAAAAACCAACTTTTATCATTTCTGAGGGCTCGTACTAACCCAGAACACTTCATCCTGAATCAACAGAACTCAGAATATATGACAACTGGATGAGATGTACAAGCGGAATACAATGGCTTCATGAAAAATATACCAACTCAGAAAAACTAAGGATTTAACATATATGAATAGAATTAAGGAGATTGCCAATTGTAAATTTAAATTTCCTCCAAAATATGTTTCTGCTCGAAGTATGAGAATAAAAAATATGCTGATTTTCTTGTATTACTTATGTACTTATTGCTTTGAAAAAACTGACCATTTACCCTAGTCATACACTATTAAGCTTTTAAAACATGCACCTTTTTGAAGAAAAAAATTCCTTCACATCTATTGTAACATAAATATGGCCTGAAAAAAGTTCATAATTAATTTACGTTAATCTAAATTGATGTAAGGATGTTTTCTAATTCATAATGCTTTAACATAAAAGTCCTGGGTGAATAAAAGTAACATGCAAGAGGCTTATTTCCCCATTTAGCAGTAATTTAAACAGACTACCAACTATAAAGCAAGCAATTAACAGTAAAAAAATTTGATAGCAATTTCTCTCATAAATTATACCAAATCGAAAATTCAGAAACGCTTTCTTCTGCATGGTAAGTAAAAATAACAAGAAAACTTCTAAGTTAGATTTTCAAAAAAAGCCTCAGAAAAAAAAGTTGCCTAAAAATGTAACTGATGTGTCAAATGAATGTAGCAAATAATCAAAAAGAAAGTTTGCAAGAGAAAAGAATGAAAGGCTAGTTGCAAAATGGATAAAAACATTGGGGTAACTTGCAAACACTGCCACCACTTAAGAATCATTTTGTTAGTTTTATCTAACCCTATGCTTAATTGCACAAGTGCTAAGCTTAAATCCCATTCAACAAGACGTATCTGTCATGAAAATGGTGCATAAATGTAGCATTGGTCAATTCAATAAACAAATCAATTTGTAGAACAAGTTTCGACATTTATTTTATTATCTTATTTACAGAACTTGCAACTTTATCATAAAAACAAGATTAGGAATAATTATACACTGTAATTAGTCAGAACTTAGAGAGCAAGTTCAAAATAAATGGTAATAAATTTTGAATATCTGTCAAACCTCACTGATTACTTGTATGAATGACTCTGTAGATTTAATTGCTAACCATAATCTAATTCCTTATGAGAACCTTGGACAACACTTAAAACCCAGTAACCGAAATGTACAACTAAGAAACTAGCATCATTTGAGTAGATTGCAGCAACAAAAAATAAAATTACAAACTTTATGCTTGACTGATTATGCGAAAATTTTCTACAATTCTAAGAAATAATTAGCAACTTATTTAATAAACAAATATAAAGAGCAGACCTACTGCACTAGAAATAAAAGTTTTATTCATGAGGACAGTATAGCCTATGTACAAGACATGAAAATTATGAAAGATGATTAAATGTTCATGAAAATTATTTAACGGCTGTATGGGTGGTAGGCATTAGCAGCTGCAGCACCTCCAACTGCTGCACCACGTCGAGGAGTCTTGCCGTAGGTACTTGGCTGTTGGCCTGAAAGATTCCATACTATTTTAATAAATCAAAACAAAACCAAAAGATTTTAGAAATAAAGCAACAGTAGAATCATTCACCTCAGTTCCTAATCGTCTTCCCATTTTTTACTGTCTTGGTCAACCTGTTCCCCATTCCTAAGCAGTATAATTTAGATAAAAGAAAATTAAAAACTTTTGAAAAATAAACTAACATTTAAATTACAAAAAATTAAAGGCTCTCAAACTAGAAAGAAATCATAAGTGTAGAATAAGGGAAGATAATTTTTTGGTTAGCGAAGATTATACATGTTGCTTTATTCTTGTTAGTCAAATAAAATTTTAAAAATTAAACAGCAATTCTACTTTCAATACTAAGATTTTATGATGAACTTAATTCTTTTTAAATATCTAACCATCATCTCAAACCATTGGAAGTGTCCAGGAAAATTATATTTTATTAATATTATGGCCTTGGTTTTAAAATGAAAACCATTTGCTCATTAATAGAACACCGCTGTTTTCCTACAATATAAACCTAACATTAAGATATTATAGAAAACAATCCACAACAGAACTAAATAAGTTCACAGTTTAGCAATCAGATTCCTATCTACAGGTTTAAGAAAAAATATTAACCCTTTAATTGTATGCTACAGCTTGTAACACAAAAAACATTAACAAGTTTTGCTCTAAAATTACTAAATTAAATTTTAGAAGTAATCAAGAACAATTAAACTTTCCAGAAAAAACAAGTCTGAACAATTTTCTGTTGTCAACAGCAAATTGACTACTGAAATCTTATAGTTCAAGAGGCTAATTCAGCTATATGCATGACAATTAAAATTTTAGACACCTTGTACTTAAAGACATAAAACTAAGCATTCTAGATTGTCAATACAAAGAATCTTCACTTTATGCTAATAAATCATTAAAACAACTAAATTAAGACTGGATACAAGCAAATGGAACTAAGTATACCAATTGTAACATAAATAAACTCCTAATAAGATTTTATAACTAAGAAACTGCAAACTTAAGACTTTCAATGAACAGTCAGTCCAATATAGATGGGAAAACTGCAATCAATAAACGTAACTACAGACAAAAGAAAAAAAAGCAAGCCCTCTAGTAACTTTTGATTTATCAAAATCAATCATATTGCAATCAAATTGACAGGACTAACATTTACTTAAAACTGATGCACTGCAATTCAATATTTCAGAATAGTAAAAATCCACAGCACTGAAAACAGGGAAAACTACTGAATCAAAACAACGCAATTCTAATAAGTTACACAAGGGCTTGCTTCACAAGAATGAACATTCACACATTCAAAATGAAACCAAAGTGTAAAGAACATTAAATATGCAAAAAGCAATAGGCAGAGGTGATTGTGGCATGAAAACATTGATGTATTTCGGAATTTCTTTGATTTCTATTTATAACTCAAAAATTTCTTATACATACAGGAGGAGAGAAAGTCTTAATGCACGTTCTTATCCCATTACTCAAAAAAAAACATTACTTAAGCATTCTACCAACATTAAAATATTAGTTCAGGACTCAATGCTTTAAACTCGATTTCAGTCTCATCTAGACTTAATTTGATTGAAAATTGATAAATTTGAAATTAAAATTTATTTTTTACTTAACATGAATAGAATTCTCACTGGCACAATAAATATAAACCTCAGCAAAAAAAGATTATAATCATTTAAGAAAACAGCGGTGGCAGTTAATCAAAAAGAAAAACAGAATTGTCAACCTACTTCAATGAAAACCGATAGATAAAACAAAAGAAAAAAAACTATTTGTTTTAAAATGTCTGGAATAAAGTGATATTTTAAAATTCAAGGAATGAACATCAATATATTTAACATATTTAAAATCTCCCTGGATTACAAAACATTCTCTTTTAATTCATAAAAACTTCATTAACCCAATTTCTCAGTACGGTCAAAACTTTTATTTAAACTAACACTAATTATACTGTGTGATGTACTGTATAACTTAAATGGTACAGTATTTGAGCAATAAAATTTAAAATTGCTCACCGTAACCACCAGTTGTTCCATATCCACCACTGCCTTGCTGATTGTAATAGCCACTGTAATCATAATTACCATATCCTCCTCCATAGCCACTGCCATATCCATAATCATATCCACCACCATAGTTTCCGTATCCACCGCCATAGCCTTGATTGTAGCCATATCCGCCAGATTGCTGTCCATACCCACCAGATCCGTATGCTCCAGGAGCATTCCAACCTTGAGGTGCAGGGGGAATAGGACCTAAATTTGAAGAGATCAAATTAAAGTAAGGACTACTCTTAAGGTAAGGTTACCAAGTTAATGCAACAAAACAATACTGACCTCCACGACCTCTGGCTCCTCTACCACGAGCAGCTCCACGGCCACCAGCAAAACCAGCTCCCCATGCAGCTCATGGTCCGCCTCTACCACCACCTAACCTTGGATCAGGTTTATTGGTAGCTTTCTTAACATCACATTCTTTATTTCCAATCTTCTGCTTAGATTGCTTGCAAGATTGTTCACATGCATCTTCAGTTTCAAATGTAACAAAACAAAACTGTCTTCGCTGATTTTTAACTTTGTCAAATGGAAGTTCAATATTTTCAACCTAAGAATTTAACAAGGTATTAAACACCATTCAACTCTTGGCAAAAAAAAAGAGGAAAAAAAAAAAAGAAAAAGTGGATTATACTTTACCTTTCCGTATTTTTCAAAGTAAGCCCTGATGTCAGATTCAGGATAGTCAATATCTAGTCCACCAACAAAGATTTTTTTAATTCCAGGCCTTGCTTTTGCCCTCTTAGGATCGATCTGCTTTCCTTTGATATTATGAGGGACATTCTTTAAAACATTATCAACTGTCTCATCTAATGCAAATGTGATGAAAGCAAACCCTCTAGACTTTCCAGTAGCTGGATCAGTCTTGATTGTGACATCAGTCACATCACCAAATTTGCAGAAATATTCTTTAAGATCCTCTAAAATAATTTAATTTGATATAATTAGTATGTTTTAATAGTTATTTTTATTATGCTAAGATTTTTGAGCAAAGGGCTACACGCTAAAGTATTTAGACAGACACATTAAGGTAATTATAGGTGGTAATTGACAGTAATAATGAGGAAAATGTTATATAAACTTTGTTCTAGGCACTAAATTAAATACTTTAGTTTAAAATTAGAAACTGCAAAACTGATTACTTAATAAGTAAAACAATCGATTCACTAGAAAAAAATTCAGAAACTGAAATTAAAAACAATGGGAAATGCTCATTTTTAATAACATTACATAATACAAAATCTTCAACATAATACAAAATATTCAACATTTAGTAAGGAATATATTTTAAATACTTGTTTACAACTCTTTATGATCAATACCAGGAATCTGTCTAGGCCGAATTTACTACCGTTTAGCGGTACTTTCACAAATTCTACTTCAGGAAAAATGGTAGTTTCACAAAATACTTTCTTAAAATTTTATTTTTGCATACCTTAAGAAACTATAAATCCATATTTGTGTTAATTTTTTAATATAATTTTTAATTTTTCAAAAATTATGTCTAAATTTTCACAAAATAGGTACCTCTCAGAAAAACCTAGACAGACCCCTGAATACTTTTATTATTTACACTTAATACACATATTAACCAGGGTTAGCCAAGTGGGCCCAATTTTAAAAAATCCGTCTGGGTTTTATTAGGTGGGTTCACCTTGGAAAAAAAAAACATTTGGAACGCAAAGTGGGTTTTTTAAATTTGGTTGAAAAAGAAGTATCGCGGAAGTTAACAAATATATACGATATGTGTAGCCAGGGGTGATTGTGAGCCCAAGTAATAATTCCGGAAAATTTCTTGAGTTAAAAAAAAAAAACAGTTAAATTGAAAAATTAGAAAAAATTTAAACACTTTTTTTCCCCTTTTTCTCAATATTTCTTAGTTTACTTAAAATATATTTAAAATTTTACACATACCTATACCATTTACACATACCTATACCTGGAGAAGTAATTAAAATTTACAAATATGTCTTTCTTGAGTTTAACAACTATTTACTGATAACAACTATTTACTGATAAAAAATGAATATTAATCATGAATATAAGCTATTATAAAGTATCTCTCTGGCTCACCCTTACAAACAAATAAAATAAACTGTGTTTTTAAGTTCCACCTTTGAAAATTTGATTTCCGGAAATCTTCGGAAACTTCCGGATCACTGTTAACAAAAAATCCGGAAATCCGGATTTTTTTTCCGGAGCACAATCAGTCCTGTGTAGCAAGCCCATGGACGGGCAAATGAGAAAAAAACTGCTTAATGCCCCAAATATGAAATTATACTAGATGGAGTTAATACTGTGAAAGCTTTTACCAATAATTACTATATATATCATGGGATTGCTCTTGAACATCAAAATAAATTTTAAAAAAATATGTCAACAGAATACAAGTCTTTCAACTGTTTAATAAAATATGTCAACAGCTTTAAACAGAAACACTAATTTCAGAAGCTGTTGAAATAATGATTAACTTACTATCGTGAGATGAATTAGAACCCTATAAACAACATTTTGTAAAAAGATTCCATCAGGCTGTTCAGCCACCTCATTTATTAGCATAAATCTTAAGATTTTTTAAATATTTTAAAGATTTCATTTGAAAATTTTATTCTGTTTCTTTTAATCATATTCTATTAAAAAAATTCTATTAAGTGATATATTAACAAATTTAAAGTGTTCTGGTTTTAAAAAATGCTTTTCAACTTTATTAATTTATTTTTCGAAATTAAAAATATTAAGTTAAATTTTCTTATCGAAAAATAAAGTCTTAAAAGTTTAATATTTGAAGAAGGGGTTTTTCAATTTCACTTTCTATTAACCTTATTAAAATAACATCAGGGGTCTGTTTATAAGAAATTTGGGTCCGTTAACGGAACCTTCACAAAATATCTTTTCATAAAAACAGACCCTTCACAAAATATTTTAACTTAAAAACGGACCCTTCACAAAATGATTTTTCTTTTAATCGGACCCTTCACAAATTTGTTTATCTTCATTATTCTTTTGTTAATCGAATTAACCCTTCCCAGGGCAGAAAACAAGAAAAGACGAATTAGTTTTGTCTTCGGCAGACGATTGTTCCATTATTCGTCCGAAATTAATATTCTGCGTCCAGCAGTATAGGCTAAATGCCAAATATTTGCATGTTGCATCCCTAATTTAGAAGCAGCAATTGCTGTTTGCTTTTGAAAATTTTATTTTTTTATTATAATTTTACAGTGCCGAGCATAATCATGTATCTATTTACAATTTAAAAACTCCTTGAAAAAGTTTTTTNCAATTTAAAAACTCATTGAAAAAGTTTTTTGCAATTACCGGACCCAATTTGCACAAATTGATAAAAGCGGACCCTGGTTAAAAGAATGTGAAATTTTTTTTTCCGCAATTTCATGAAAACCGGACCAAATCAGCACGCACACAAAGAGTGTCAAAAGTAATAACTAAATTTCTAAATTCGAGCATCATATTAGTAATGTATTGAAAATATTAGGATTTACAAAACTGCGTAAATTCATAGTGTTAACCATGGGGGGGGCGATCAAATAACTACATTGAGTGCAATTTTTTTAAACCTTTTGTTCATATTGCAGGTTGTGCATCTCTACACTAGAGTAAAAAAAGAAAAGACTATTTCAGATTCAGAGGAAAAAAGTGTCATCTATGGTTTGCTGCTTAGGCAAGTGACATTTTTAGAGGATTTTTTTGAATCGAAAAAAAAAAATTTATATAATAATTGAAAGACAGTTCAATCCAATGGATCATTTCACGAGTGACTTCTGTCTTCCTGACTGATAATTGATACTTGCTTAAATATGAAAAATCCAAATGAATAAACTTTATAAATTATAAGCTTTAAAAATTGCAATAGACTAATCGTTAAAAACAGTACCAATGTTAAAAACAGTACTATAAACTTAAGATTGATTAAAACTGATCTTGCCATGCAAGATTGAAAAGTTACTCATTACAAGTAATTCAAATTATAATTTCATAGCTTAAGCTGCATTACGCTGTTATTAACTTTAAAAAAAATTGCACAAGAAAATAAACATAAATTATTTAACAAATAAATTTAATTTCACTGTTCAAGTAAAAAAATATTAGATATTACTTACTTTGATCAGTGTCCCAGCTTATTCCACCAACAAAAAGTTTCCTGCAAAACGGAAAATAATATAAGAGATTCGTAAGAGCTTAAAATATACCTTTATCTCTTAAATTTTTCTCTTCCTTATCAAAAAAATTAAGCAATACTTAAGGAGTAAATCAAAACAGGCAATAAGATTAATTTGGGCATATCAAGGCTTGAATTTAAGAAATATATGCCAGGTGACCATTTTTAAATGTCCATCAGAAATAGAGATAAAGGTAGTTGTTTAAAATATAAAACAAAATACAATATGTTTGAAGACTAAGAAAAATTTTAATAACTTATCTTTCAGGTAAGTTTAATTATACAACTAATTTTACTGAAAGTATATAAAATCTTATTTTTCTAAAGTCTTTAAACAAAATTTTTACCAAAGCAAAAAGGTTTTACCTTAACACTCAAAAATTATCAACTTAAACTTTATATTTTCCATTATACTTTATCAAATTTCTCCTTGTAAATGTACATAAGTGATTCGTCTACAAGGTTTAAATATTAAATAAAATTTTGCTTTGACAAAAACTCGAAAAACTATCTTTAATAACTTACAGATACACAATTGAAAAATCTATGAAATTCAGAATTTAAAAAAGCATAATAAAATAAATTAATCATTTTAACTATAAGTTATCTTATAGCAATATGTATACTTGATTTTACACAAAATCAATTTTAAAATTTTGAAGACCATCATTGGGGAGAGTTTAATTGGTTACATTAACATCTTCTATATTTTAAACACATACTTGTCTTATAAGAGTTCGTTATCTTCGTTACGTTAATTCACGAAATTACTTATATAATGAGATGCTCCCCAATAGTTAATATAATCCATTAATCTTTCTTAGGCACCAATTCTTCCATTTTAGCTAATACAGAAGCTAAAAACATACCTCCACCAGATCCACATCAACTTTTTGCATCATCATATTCAACTCTTGCATTGGAGACACAGGAAAAGGCAAGTCGAGAAACCTAAGCAAATCTCCACTGCTTCTAAAATGATGCAATCCAGTATAAGTCTTGTCAATAAATTCTCAATGCCATTTAAAGTTGTTTCTTTTAAATTTGGCTCTTGAATTTAATTGATCTAAGTATTGCTCTTGGTTTCTTAATTACGTTAATCATTCTTAAATTCAGGCAGATGAACGATTAATCCTTTAATGAATTATCTTCTTGTGCATGATATAAATTATTTTTAATTGTGCTGGTGTATTACTTTAACATTAAAAATCAAATGCATAGCATTTAGTTCAAACTTATCCATCAGTTGACTTGAAATCATGCAAATTAATTTTACCTTATATAAAATAAGATTTCCAAAAACTTGATTTAAAAACATGAAACTAGTTTAAAACTGAAAAATGTAAGAATTTAGAATTTCATAACATATGCTACATGTATGAGAAAAATCGCTACAGAAGTATTAATTGATAGAGCCATATATATTTAGAAATAAACTATCAATACATCCACTACAAGAAACAGCAACAATAAAATACATGAAATTTCCAGTATAATCTAATATGCATAATGCATTCATGAAAATCAAATTTAGATTAATATTCAAATTAGTCGTGGAAATTTCCCAAACAAGCAATAAAATTTGTAACGTTTATGGCAAGCCATTAATGATACTGCAACTATCAACAACTTAACAAATAATCTTAAGTAAATTCCTTCAGATAAAATAGCGAAAATTTACCAAAAATTAAACTACGCATTATTTCTTCACAGAAATCCAAATTTACGTTAATCAAAATGCATCAAAAGAAATGAACCCTAAATCATCCACAAGAAATTACATATTTAAACGTTATCTATATGGATTAAAATTATAATTTCTTCACGTAACACCTACAACAAAAAATTGTATAATAATCTGAAAAAGAGATATAGTTAATGTGTTACAATTAGTAGACAATCTTTGGCCCGCCACATCACCGACAACAAAATGGCAAGACATTAGTATTAGCCGCCATATTGAATTCGACATTCAAGAGAACAAAGAAATAATGAATATAACAAAATTATTTAAAAAAATAATAAAGTAGATACATTAATTTAAATCTAGCATAGGTGAGACTCCAGAAAAAGAAATAAGCTACAGATTAAGAAAGATTTTAACGGGCGCTTCAAAATGGCGCAATTCCACTACGGAGAAATTTTGTAAAGATAGTCAAATTAAAGAAAGTTAATAACACTCAAATACTGAAATTGCAATTTAAAATACTTACCTATCATCGTCAGATGAACTTTTAGATGTGTTAGTTCCATTTGTTCCGTTCATTTCTTGCATTTGAGCACTTGTGTCACCACCCTCTTCCATAGCTTCAGTGTAGTTCTGTTCGCTGTATTCTGAATATTGCTGATCATCAGCAAAATTTCCGTCGGTATATTGTTGACTATCGGAAGCCATAATTAAAGTAGTGAAAAGTTTAAAATTATACTAGTGCAAAACGACTTTATGCAAATTTTTCAATTGCTAGATGACTATGACTGACTGACCTCTACAGACGTAAGAGTACCGATGCAGATAGAAATGCGAAAGGGTGTATCTTGAGGAAGGTGATTGGCCCAATTACCGGCACAATCGATGCCAAACCATTAGGTCAAAAGGCTAGGCTTCAAATAATTCTACAAAATATTTGCGATGGCAACAAGAAATAAATACTTGAATTCTAGAATATTCTTGATATCAAAAGGTGAAGAATATTCTTTTATTTCACAAAAATATTAGGTAACATTTTCACCACATGCATTGTCAAGGAAATTTGAGAAGCTCATTGGTGAAATATATTTTCCCACAAAAACCGACCAATCAGGTGTCCTTTCTTCTCTTCGGTATTCGGAGCTGCGTCAACTGCAATTGATTAAATAGCCCATTCAGGTAAGTGCCCCAGACGCCTGTGAGAATATTTAGAAACTACTTGCAGAAGTCAGAGTTAGCGCTCACGCGTGTACGAATCGCATTACCGTGTGAACGAATGTGCGATTCGCGTGCAGTGTGAGGGATCATTAGCTCCGCATTCGAAAAAATTGCATACGCGAATTAACCGAAAGCGGTTGCCTCACCTACATTCACCATTGAGGAATTATAAGAAACCTGATTAGTGAAAACTCAACACTTTAATCAGCTAGAGTAAGGACCGAGCGTGCGCGGTATCGGTTCTCGTTAATCTGTTTTACCGTAAAATGCTCGACTTCGCGATCTACATCGTGCTACCATTACAAGGGACCCATCTCCTCTATAAAGGATCAAAATTGCAATGGCATGTCTTCGGAACATCCTCACGGATGCTTCCCAGACCATCGTCAATAGCTCATTGCGCAGCTTTAATGCGATGTGAGTAAAGTACCTAACTACCTACCTGATGGTGATCAAAAGTGAATGATTTTCATGCAATGAGATTGGTTTAATGTAGAATTTTTACTGCCTCACTCTAATCCAAACAGAATCTCTGAATTTGTATGTGCGATTTTTTTCGCAAACTGAGGAAACGCTCCATAATTGGTATACTTTTCTTGATTTCACTCAAGACTTGACTTCTTCTTCAAGAAAATTCGCAAAATGTATTCCTAAAGCCGTTATTTTTCAATCAATAAATTTTTACTCCTAACATTATATTTCAAAAAATATTTTCCTTTCTTTTACCAAAGGTGATAAATGGTCTGCAGACAATGACTGGTGAGTCATAGGTAGAGACATTTCTCATCAGGAATACCCGTGGCTTTTGAACATGCTTTTGAGAAAGTTTGTTTCCAGCTTTTTTATTCTATGATGCAGCTTCAGAGGTTGAATAAATAGTTAGAATACAGTACGAAAGACCAGAAAAAATAAAGTACTGAGTTTTTTTGTAGGGAATCCGTGACTTTTTTCGCGTTTCACGATAATAGGAGTTTAATAATTATCAAAATATGAGTCGTAGTTGTAGTTGTAGTTCATTTATGTCGCACTAGAGCTGCACAATGGGTTATTGGCAACGGTCTGGGAAACCATCCCTGAGAGATACCATCACAATTTTGATCCTCTGCAGAAGGGATGGCTCCCCTACTTTGGTAGCCCGACGACCTGCACGCGAAGTCGAGCACTTTACGGTAGAACAGTTTAACGAGGACCAATACCGCACACCCTCGGTCCCTACGCAGACTGATCCAAGTGGTCACCCACCCGCACACTGACCGCAGCCAGTGATGCTTGACTTCGGTGATCTGCTGGGAACCGTGTCTTAACGATCAGTCCACTATGGGACTCAAAATATGAGTCATGAAACACGTAAAAATAAAAAGATATATAAACAAACAATTTGAGAAAAATCGATGCGGCTTAAAAAAGGGATGCAGAATTAAGTAGAGTTTGTCTATTAAAAGAACACCCCTCTTTACAACGTCTGAGGTTATCTGCTGTTGTGGATACGAGAAATAGCGCATTTAAAAGTGGATAACTTCTCTCTTCCCTGATTTCTTTTCTCTCACCAATAGGAGTCAAAACACGTCTTAAATATTGACTTAACACCCTTAGTTGAAATAAAATCTCGTAACCATAGTCACCACAACTGCTCCAGGAGAGTTCTTTCCATGCACAGATTTTATTCTTCTTCCAATTTCAGGAAGCTTTTGTTATTGTCTCCGTTCAGTCATCCATCTATATCAGCTCACTGAAATTCATTTATAGTAGGTCGCTTAAGACTTCTTTTTAATCGTTTCCATTCCAAGATTTTTCCTTCAAAACAGAGCCTCACATTTTGTATTAGAACGATTTTTTGAAAATGAATTTTCAAACAAAATCAATTTTTAATGATTTTTTTGCAGAATTTTAAAATTAACGACACTATGATGATGTTTCTCCAAAAAACTTGAGAACGACAGTCAAGAATCTATTATATACTTAAATTTGTATTGCGTATAAATAAGGATAGATAACACACGTATGGTTTTACTCTCCGATTTGCTCTTAAAATGCTATTGTCATTATGCTGCCAAAGGCAATGTAGCAATGGATGGCTGAGTGTTGAATTTTTGAAGGCCGTCCAACCGCCCGCCAATCTGCAATGCGTTTACAAATTATTTTAAACGCCACACAGCAACGAGTTTGAACAAGGTGTATACCTGTCCGATAAGCATTTAAAGTATTATTAAACCCAATTCTGCTGTAAACAGAAGAAGCCAATGTGGATCGTGAATCAAATACCGTTGATTTGCTCTGCATCTATGCATTATGTTGTTTTCGAAGTTTCAAACGACAAGTTTGGGCACGGTTTTTACGTAGCCGATTAGCATTCAAGATTTGAATGAAATGGCTTCAGAACAATGCTGCTGAAGGCAGGAACGACCAACTGACAGTCGCTTTGCACTGTTTCTATGCATTATATTATTTTAGTAGCCGCAAAGTGACAAGTTTGTGTGAGGTTTTTACCTAGTCGATTAGCATTTAATAGATTAATGAAATGGTTTCAGAGCAATGCTGCTGAAGAGGCCAACAACTAGTAAATTCATATAGGCTGACCTAATGGCCGCCGTCGCAACACGTGGTAATTTATCTCTTTGTCCAGAGTTTTGAAATTTGAACCTTATTTTAGCAGTATACGAAATAGAATTTAAGCTAAGAAAAAGCTTATTTTTTATAAATTGATGCTCAAGCCGGAATTTCTACAAAATATTTTGCATATCAATATCGTTAAATCACCTATCTGAAAATTACTACTTAAAACCTTCCTAAAGTTTATAATAAATTTTGAAAAAAAAAAAAAATCAGCATCAAAGTTTACCTAAGACTAATATATTCTTACAATTGTATTTATTAAATTATTTGTTGAATAATATCATTCAATTTAAAAAATATTTTTAGACAGTTAAAATAATATTTACAATTCAGACATTAAAATAGAAAAATACATTATCCACCAAAAGTTCGAAATGCGGTGCTATGAATAAAATTTAAAAGATAAGACTTTCAAGTGATTTTAAACAAATTTGCATAGAAATTGTTTTCTATTAGAATCCTTGACTCAAGAATGCACATCATTTCTAGTTAAATCTTGCAGAGTGCTTTTAAGTAACTAAGTTATCTCAAAAGTTTACGTAATCTCAGAAATTTAAATTTTTCTTGGACAATACTTAAGACTTCTGTCAGGAATTTTTATTCCTCTTGCGCATTGTATGGTAAACTTTGACCTAAAAATTTAATTTCGGTGTAGCGCCCCCTCTAATAATGTGCAGTCTTTTTTCTTACTTTCAAAATCACTAGCACTCCATCAAAAAAAATCATATTTTTTTCTATAAAAATTTTTCCAAGGAAACTTGTATAAATTTTAAAAATATTAGCTCTTTCAGAAATAACTAAAAAACAGTTTTAATCCACTGCTGCCAAGAAATGCAACATGCTGCTTATGCTATTAATTCGTTAAATAGCTTTCTTTTTTTAAAAGTTGAAAATGGTGAATACGAAATATAAAGGACAGAGAATCTAGGAAGTAGGATTTTTATAAACGTATCACATTTACCACATATAGTGCGAGTCTGAAGAAAACGGCAAAACTTTATAGAGCGCATGAACACCATCAATATTCGTCATAGAATGAATGATCGGAACGCAAGCAGTTAGAAATTAGAAGGTAGTTTTTCACTGTCAGATTTAAAGAGGTTTAACTCAAAAGGGAAAACAATTTTTATTCACGGGAATAAGATTGATAGATGAAGAAATTGCTAAAAGGAAAAAGATGCTAGTCTAGATGCGTTCTATCACCCAGAGAAGTTTTGTCATCTTTTTCAGACTCACCCTGCATACAGTGATTTAGAGCTAACCAGGAGATCCAGATTTCGACACTGGAATATAAATAGTACATAAGTCTATTTGTGAATTAGATAATTATAACTATCATATAGAAGTAGGGATGCAAACTAACACATATAGGCGTGGACACAAAATCAAATTGCAAGAAAGGTTACAAATAACGTTAATTTATTATACAGATTATATTTAACAGTTTAGTTCAAGAGAAAGTTCTAAATCAGGTCTCTTAAGTAACGTTCAGCTTTCCTAACAACCTCCCTGGATTGCGTTTGCATCCCTACAGGATTCTTGATTATTATATTCCTTAACACGTAGAATTTTTTTAATCAACCCTGTATACACAGGGGACACATTTGGTCGCCACGGCACCCTAAAAATCGTAGTTGGCGCACATTTTCGTACCATAAAGTCATAAATAATTACGCCATTTTCCATTCTCTACCATGCTGACTTCTAAAAATTTGTTTCTAAATATTTTTTTGTAGATCTTTGGAACGATTTTTGATGGCGATTTCAGACGAAGTAAAGTGGCCCATGAGAGCCATGTGCTGATTTAGTGTAGAATTGTCAATGTTTTTTAAAAGTATTTTTGGAAATGGCAAATTACACAATAAGCATACCTTCCTGTATAATTGACAGATAGCTATAGTTATTTAAATAAAAAATTAAGCCAATTCTTTATAAAATCATAACGAATACAGTAAAAGCTTGTTAGAATGAGAATGCACATTATTAAAAAAATCTAGACTGATTTCCATTTTAATCTACTTGTATAAAAACAAATATTCCAAGTACCTATGCTTAAATTTTGTCAATTGGATTTCCTAGCTTCTAACTAGATGGATTTACAATTTAATGGAATACAATTTAGAGAACAGCACTGAGCTATTAAGAAGTATATACACATTTTAAGCAAGTTCACTATTTATTTGTGATTTAAACTTTTTTGGGACTAACAAGATTAGAAAAATAACTACAAAAGCACATAACAGATGTAAATGATATGAAAAGTAATGATTTAAATAACTATGATGATATAATTGAAAAAGGGAGGAGTATGTGGTGAATAAGAGAACAAATGTCCCATTTTTTCCCTCTATTCAATTGCAGATTTTAGAAAATGGACTTCAACTCGTAATCTGTTGAGAAATGGTAACAGTTTCAACATATTTGATGTATCTTTAATATTCGTTCATCGATGATGCCTTACCTTACTAGGCACACAAGGCTTTTTTTTACAGTACTTGAATTACGAATTTACTTGCCTTTTCACATTAAGTGAACAGACAAGAAGCGCAATTTTATATTTGTCATCAATATCATCCTTAAATAAAATTACGGAGAACAGAATAATACAAAAATAGATTGAAAATAAAAGTTTTCCATAATGGTTGTTAATATTATTATGTTAAAAGTTTCAATGTTAATCTTGCAATTCACATTTGTTAATGTCAAAAATTTTCAAATTCATTAATTTAAACATTTATAATTTAATAATTAAATTGTTAAAAGAAATGTAAATAAGATATATTAATAATAATGAGACCTAGGAAGGATCCCCTTTATTAGTGTAAGCAGATTACTAAGAATTTCTCCTTTCCTTAAATAATATTATAGGATGTATTAAGGAATAATGAAATTGCATAATTATAAGCAAGCATAAAAATTAGCCCAATCTTATTATTTTTAACTGATTGTAAAACAAATTTTTTCCATTATAAATTCAAATAAATTCGATGTGATTTTTATACAATGATAATAAAGACACATTTGAATTCATCTAGAAAAAAAACTTTATAAAACTTCTGTACAATAAATTACAAAAATAAATTACATTCTATTTACAAGTTTGTTTTGCATTTACATGACTCAAATATGGCAAGTGGGCCAGCAACTGAAGACTTTGGCACCCATTTAGTTGTAAGCAAAAGAATACACACACTAAGTTCAAATTGGTACAGATAGATTGAATGTAAATTTTTACAAAATGAATTTCAGAAAAATTTCTGATCAGTAAAGGCTGAAAAAGTTTCCAAAGTACATACTTTAAGTTGAATTTTTGATAAATATCTAACTCAAAAATATAAAACGTATCAAAAATTATTCACAAGCATTAAAGGTTACTCATATTGACAATAAACACAATTTATATTTCAACACTATAAAATATGAAAGGCTGAATTGTGAATAGCTCACATTATATTTTCCCAGATTATGAATACAATATGTAAAAGAAATAAATCCTATAAAATAATTTTTATCATATTGCTTGCCAGAGCACCTGTAAAATTTCTATTAAAACAAAAATAGGCTTAAATTAAAGAGCATTGTTGAAAACATAGGACAGAAAATTTTTTTCCCCCTGCTTCTGCCCCATGGGTAAAATATGCTTCTTTTAAGTTCCAGTTTATTTTCTTTAACTAAGAAAATCTTCCTGCTGATGTGGATTTGTGACATTAAGATTATGCTTTCCGCCTTTTACTAGAGAAGTAAAGGGGGTATCCCAACAGTGATATCTTAATCTCATCTAGATTTTTGTTCTAAAAAAGAGGATAACTATTTAGTATGTGTTACTTCATTTGCAAATTATTACTTTTTAATTTAAATGAATTTTTAAAAAAAGTAATTTTGTAAACAAAACTATTTAAATTGAAAAATAACAATTTAAAAGTAACCCCCTCCCCTCCAACCTCTCTGATAGTATGCAGACAGCCTAAGTGTCAATCCATAAATCCACAAAAGCTGGTGATAATATTAGTTTAAAAGCAAATGAACTGAAACTTAAATAGTACTTATTTTACTGTCATGTTAAAAATGGCTAATTTTAAAGTATTTTAATCATGTACTATTTAATTTAAGATTCATTTCGTTTTAACAGGAATTTTACAGATGTGTATTTCCCTTGTTCGTTAACAAACTCCTTTAAATAAATTAAGACAGCAAAATAGTTTCTTTTATTATTTTAGTTTTTCTTTCGTTGAAAATCATGCTTAAAATGCATGCGTCAATAATTATAAGTACTTCGGTTATTAAACTACAGAAAATCTTTTAACATACTTAATTGTTACATACAATTCTCTTATTTTACTTTCTTCATGTGAACCAGCAAGTAGAAATAAAAGACAAAAAATAATGATGTATTAATATTTATGAACAAACTACTTTTTTCTTTCCTTTCAAGTATTCATTAGGTTTACGCTTAAATAGTAAGAGTATATTATGAAAAACCTGTGTGAATTTATTTAGTTAAATAATTTGTTGTATATGCAACAAATAAAATCACTAAGCACAAAAATTCCACCCCAAAGCTGATGTAAGTACTAAAAATGTCACAATAATTATGAGATCAGGATTGACATTTTAAAAACAATTGGTTTAGAATAATATGTTCTATACACATATGTTATATGAAATAAAGAGAAGCAATTACTTTAGAATCATCTTGAAAATATATCTAAATTGCTCTTAAAAATACAAGATATGGGAAAAAAGGTTTAAAATGCCTGAGTTCTGAGATAGGGACATAAAAATTTAGCAGCTAATTCTGCAAATAGGATTTTATAATTGGAGTATAAAAAATCTGCTAGTAAGAAAAATCAGTTTCTTACAAAATATATAGCATACAAATGCTGTCATATTAAAATTAGGTTAAGTCTAAAATTGAAATTAAAAAAAACTTTTTTTTCATAGAAAAAATTGAAATGTTAAGAATGGTTTAGAAACATTTAATCAAACCTTATTACATTATAACATATATTTTAATCATTCGCGTAGAAAACAGTTTTCAAATTTTTTACTTGTTTACATATGAATTACCAATTTCCTAACTCAGCTAAAGATTAAAAAAATAAGTATTTAATGTAAATAAATCAAAATAATATAATATCAATGCAAATGAATGAATATAAATGAAGTACTTTTTTATTTTAAATTATTCAGGGTCCAATTTATAAAGCTTCACACTAGACTTTTGGGATGTAGGAGTTGATTATGCATCCCTAAAGCATAACTTCAAAAAAATAAATAGAAAACATCTTTTTCTTTTTTTTAAAAAAGGAAAAGGAAATTCGGATAATTGACGACTAGAAATGGAAAATAACCTAAGTACCAAAAAATATGAAAAAAAAAAGTTTTTTAATAGAAAAATGTCCAAAAAGAGCAAGCTAAACAAAGTGGAGAATGTCCTAAGTTGTTGGTCGTAGTTAAATATGTAACCCAAAGGAGTGAAATGGAGAACACCCAAAGTACCACTTTTCCTTTTTTGGTTTTCTTGAAGAATTTTCTTTTTTAGATTTAGATCGTTTTCCATTTCTAGTCCTCAAATGTAATGCACGGTAATTTCAACAATTCACAAAAAATGTAACGAAGTACAAATTGAAAATAATTTTATAGAAACAATGCATCAAAGAGATAAAGAACATACAACTATTTTTAAACAATAAGTTTTTGAATGAAATAGTTCTTGACTCTCTCAGACACTTTGCTTAAGCAGAGGTAATAAAATGTCTTTGCTATAATTCTATGGTTTGTACACAGTATAATGCAAATGATGACTGACAGATGTAGGAAGCTGACAGTTTGTTTTTTCTTTATAATTATTACTATTTTCACTAAATGGGAAGAAAGAGTTGCATGGAGACATTTCCATTTCGTATTATTTCACAAAATCAACAATTATGTACAGGACTTAGGAGTGATGAAGGAGAAGCAGGTTCTAGAAATAAAAACATAAAGACATTTTAATTTCAACGCCAGCAGTATAAATATTAAAAAAAAAACATAACTTTAACCAGTTCAGGACTGGCAAAAGGGGAGATTCCACAGGCCCTTATGTTCTGAGAGTACATGTACGCACACACACAACCGGGTAATAGTTCCCATTAAGCCTAATTTCACTTAAAATTTCATACGAAATCATTACTCCAATTATTAACACGAAATTTACATTTTATTATCATTGATAATACCTGAATATACTGTAATAAAACTTAACTGATATATAAAAAACAATTTCAAAACTGGAAGAAAAAACCATCTAGCAACTTGTAAACAAAATACTATAAAGCAAACCCAAATTAACATCCACATAAAGTAATAAGTAGTCCAATCTTTTCCAACTTAGTCAAAATAGAAACAAAAACACAGTAAATCTCTCAATCCTAATACTCTAGAAAGAACCAAACACAAGCAGTTGCTTAATGATTAAATAAGGTAAAATAAAAACTGAAACTGCTTATTATATTCAACGTTTGTAAGACATTATTTGAAATTAGCACAGTTCAGTTACCATCTAGAGTGTTTAAAAATTGAAATAAAACTTTCTAAATTGAAATCAAATTTGCGTGATCATAGGCTTCTGAATTCAGCAGGGCTGGTCTCATATATATGATACTATGAGTCATGAAGGGAGAATCATGTCATTTAGCATATGTGCTCGTAATCCTGAATTGATTAACAAATAGGTAATAGTGTGCATAGTAGGAAGGTATAAATTGTGAAAAATTACATTCAATAAATATTCTGGGTGCAAAAGATGTGGTTCTAATTAAAAACATTCAATGAAAATTTAAAATCTTAACTGTTCGTTTAACATTTTTCTGTAATTCTATTACGTTGAAGTAATAAATGATATCAAAATCACACAAGATAAAGGATGACTAGAAATTACAACTCTCAATACATACTTTTGGAATTCCAGTCAAAATTATATATACATAAGAGTTGGTAAATTAATATTTGACCAAAAAAATACATAAAAATTATTAAACAAATCGGAATAATACGGAAGGAGGTATTAAAAATATTAAAATTAATTTGACTGTCAAATGATATATAAAGGTGTTTTTGATATTTGCCTTTTGTCTTGAATCTCACTTTCTTCGAAAGTAATTTAGCAAGTTTTTTACAATATATTGTTTTTTTCTTGTTTCAATAATATTTCAAGATTCTTAATATGTAGAAAATTCTAACTTTGTTTCTGATAAGGTTCCAAAATTAAATACATTTAATAAGCCATGTGATTACAGAACACCCTATATATGCTTTTTTTTAAAACTGAATTGTTTTGTATTGCTAAATAAAATATTGTTTTTGAGTAAACATACTATATGCAAATAAAACAAATTTTCGAAAACCATTTATTGGATTGACAAAAAAGCAATTTCGTTTTGCGTCAGCAGATGTTTTGTTTTCATCTTTATTTTATTTTGTTACAGTTAGAATGGCTTCTTGTGAGATTTTGCAATTGAGACTTTTAGGTTTCTAAACAAATTCCCTGTAATTTTGCTTACAGCTGTCAGTCTTAACACATGGTACAAAAAGTACATTTTTGAAACATTTTACTTTTTTATTTTTATAAAGGCAAGAAAACGGCTGAGACCCACAAAGAGATATGTTAAGTTTATAGTGTTGAGTAGTTAACAGAATGCACATGCCATCAAATTAGTTTAAAAAATGTGGTTGAATTGATTAAAAATATCACTGAAAGATGACTAACATTCTGAGATTCAAAATTGTCATGGAATTACTCAGCAGTCAGGGTCTAAACTAGCAGAATCACCAGTAATTTAATTAAATTTCTGATTTAGTATAATTGGAAAATAGAAAAGATAATTAAAAAAGCACATTCATTTACTAAACTGCATTAAGTACATGCAAAACAATTTTCATAAACAAGACCCAATCTCCTTCTGCTCTAAAAAAAATTTTTTTTTCAATTCACGTTTGATTTCATATTTAACAATTAATTATGAAAAAAATAAAACTTTTAATTTAAAACATTTGCAAGGAAAAATATTGAGTTAATGAAGGAATTTTAATAAAGTTTTTTTAAAGAAGGCAGGCATTTTTTTTAAAAAGAAGACAGGAAATTAAAATAAAATAAAATTAGGCATTATTTAGAAATTTAAAAATAATTAAAAAAAAGTTTTAAATTTCTGATCAATAGTTTGTGGCATTCCTGCAACAGAAATTTTTTTTCACTAGTAATTTAATAGGAAAGTAGCATTAAGAACAGAAATTTCTATACTATTTTGCCCAGAATCAGAATATTTAAAAGCAACTACTTCTGTAAAGGCAACACATAAGTAAATTGACAATTAAAAATAACTTACAACTAACTTTTAAAAGATATTAAAATAGGAAGTTTGTAAATTATCATGCAAACTTTCTAGAGAAATGATAATGAGAATTCAACGTTAAAAAAAATACCTAGTTTGGACGGTTGAGATGACAAAGAAACTGGTTTGAATAAGTGGAAACCAGTGTTCTGTGCAGCCTTTGCAACCACATTGGCAAAATCAGAATCAGTATAAACTGATCCATCTGATGAACTAGCTACACTAGACCGTACACTAGAGGCACTACTCCTGTCTGTTACACTGGTCCAGGAAGGAGCAGGACCTGTATGAAGAAATAAAAAAATTATGAACTTTTCATAAAGACTAAATTCAGCAAATTAAAATATATTTAATTTCTCTAACTAAAATATATTTAATTTTTCAAACTTAAATATATTTAATTTTTCAAACTAAAATATATTTAATTTTTCAATCTATCTATTTTGCTGACTATTTGACATTGCATTAGAACAATAGCAAGCTCTTTAATATTAATTAACTCCTAAGAGCCGTAATGGCTCAGGAGAAAGAGAGTTAGCCTTCCAATGAGGTGAATCGGGTTCGAATCCCAAACTATCGCTGGTCAATACAAATTTTGCATCCGGCTTATACCAACCACAGTGCTGACGTAAAATATCCTTAGTGGTAGACGGATCAGGGGTTAGAGGCCCCTTGCCGTTAGGCTAACCCTGGAAGGTTTTTGTGGTTTTCTTCTCCATGTAGCACAAATGCAGATTAGTGCCATATACTTCATGAAGGCAAAACTTCTCCCACTATTTGATCCAGGAATTCCCTTGTCTTCTGGATTGGGTTTAAATTACCAGGCTACAGAGTCGAACATTAGTAATCGTGAACCAAAAAAAAATAATGGGTTGGCTGTTCAACGACGGTTATAAAATAAAATTAACTCCTTAATATAGAATTGTCTATCCTTATTAGTATTCACTTATATTTTAGTCAGAATGGCCTAGCTTAAAAATTAAAAATTTTCTTCTGGAATTAGAGGACTAATATGATTGCTTATATTGTAATCAAACTTTTGCAAAAGTTGTGATGCTACAACCAATGAGTTCATAAGTAAAATTACTACAAGAGCAGAATCCTTTTTTTTTTCATTATATGTCAAATTTATTCCTTTTTAAGATTTCTTTTAAAATTTATTCCTTTTTCTTTGGTCAGTTATTTTTAAATTTACTAACTTGCTTAATTTAGATTAAATGTGACTGCAAGACTTTTTAAAAAAAGAAAAAAAGACACGTTGATCAATGGCAAAGAAACAAAATATTTCTATTTCAATAATGCGAACAGTAAAATAATTATTGCACTAGATTTTAAGTCCATTGCGTCAATAGAATTTGCACATAAAATAAAACAATAACACAAAGTACGAATATAAAGCAGCAATTTCTCCTCCTAGAAACTGTGGTTTTTATTTTAATATAATTATTATGATTTATATATTTATGTATCAGTATTTAAATATTAATCTTAAAGCAATAATAACATAAAATTAAACGGAAAATTGTTAAACAGGGTGCATAGCCAAATATTTGAACAAAAAATAAGCACCTTTTAAGCACTTTTCAAGCACTCAAAAATATTTTTAAGCACTTTGAAAAAATATCATAATCAGTCAGGGTTGGCAAGTTTTTGACAATGGAGGGACGAAGATGATGGCGCGTCACAAACGATGAAATTAACAAGATAAGTTAAATTTTCTATCGCTAATAGAGAAAAAAAAATTGACAATGTTTAATTGGTCCCCGTAATCAGCAAAAATTCGAGAGATATTTCAATTCTATTATAGAGGGCGGAAAATGAAGTCTGAAATTGAGAATCACTTGCGAAATGCAGCAGTTGCACATGAGAGACAAAAATACTTACCACTGAATCCAGCTCAGTAAAAACAAGCGGGGACCAGCAAGTATTTCATCAAACATTTAAAACAAATGGTATTTTCATACACTACAGACCAAAGGTACGCAAAAATATATTTGGGGTTGAATAAATTGTGAAAATGTTGAATTGGACAATGTCTTTTTGCATAATTTGTGGCGAAAATCAACATGGTAAAGAAAAATATCACATTTCGGAAAAAGGAAAATTAAGCACTTTTTAAAAACAACCATGGAAAAAAGCACCTTTAAAAGCTTTTAAAAAACGAAAATAAGCACCTTTAAGCACTTTTTAAAAACGCTATGCACCCTGTTAAAGTTTATTGTTAAAATCAACCAAACCAATTCATTTAAATTTGGAGAGCAGAAATAGAAAAAAAAAAGAAAGAAAAAGAATCTTACAGTGACCAGGAGCATAGCCTTCGTCTTCATGAATACTAGATACTGGAGAATGAGCTGCTCCAGACTGAATAGTTTGCATCACATTGTCATAGAGTCTCATTCTCTCTTGAGTTATTGGTTCAGGCTGCAGTTGATGATAGACTACACCTATATACAAAAAAAATGTATTTTTAGAATATAAAAAGTTTATTTGAAGTTTAAAATTAAGCTACTTTGATGATTTCTAATATTTATTTAGTTAATTGTTAAAAAATATGAAAATAATGCTTATTTGTTATGAAATGAATTTTAATATGAATTTGTATGAATTAATATCATAAATTAATTTAAGCAAAAATGTAGTTAGTAAAGCATGATAACAATGGTTTAAAGATTGGATTTATAATCTTTCTTAACAAAATTAATTTTACAGTTAATTTTTAAGTAGGATATCAGTTTTGTAGACTTAATAGGTATTTGCATGACTACCATGCAAGCACAAATGCTATTAGGTAGCACTGATAAAAGCATAAAATATAGTTATAGGTTGCACTAATAATGATCATACATCGATAGACAAGGAAATGATTTAATTTTATTGGTAACTAAACACATCGAAAGAGGTATCCTATCAAAGTATTGAAAATGGTTACATATTTGTTTGATACATTATATACTACCATATTTGAGCAGAGAATCTCACATTCACAACTTTATAAATTAAAACCTTTATTTGTTATTATGTATGTTATTTGTTATAATGTTGAATGAATACACATGTAGATTATATAAGCTTGTTAGAATATCAGCACATTTAACAATATAATAAAATTTAATCTAACAACTTGCCAATAATTTAGTTAAGCAAAAATCTGCAAGTTGATGCTGTAAAAAATTACCAATAATTTTGGAATTTATTTACAAAAAAACAAAAAAAATATACGAAATGTAAGCAATTGCAAAATTTAGTACTTCAATACATTATTCCAGAATAAAAAATTATGTTTGCCATTTTAGAGCATTTTTATATATGATTTCTTACTGACCTACGAACAATAACTGTGCATGACAGTACTGGAGAATTTCACCCTATTTATATGGGTCTCACACAAATAAGTAGCAATTTTATGCGGCTCTTATTTGAGCAATACAAAGCTAAAGCCCTTTTTTAATGTATATTCCATGAAATTTATTAGATATTAACACATACAACCCTTCAGGCAGGCTAAGGTTTCGTAAAAAAAAAAAAAAAAAGAGAAACATTATTTTACACAAATTTCTTAAAATACAAGGATTGTGGAGACCTGAGATTAAAAAATATTTTTATTGCAACTATGCTGACTCTCCCTACCCATATATCTGATATCTGAGCATAAAAAGAAAGAGAAATAAAAAGTGTGTCATATTATACGTAAGTAGCTCACCTTGATTATTGCGTAATGAGTTAGCCTTACACCCCCGGTCTTGGCTCAGTTTCTTCATCCCTGGACAAGGATCACTTGCTAGGGACAACAGGGAAGACTGTATACCCCTGTCAATACCTGGACTAGAACTGTAGGATTGTTTAATTGGTATGTGACTATTTACTATAGGATGTCGATTGCCCATCGATGAGGGTGGGGTGGGATTTCTCTTCCCCTCATCTTGCTCCCGATTTAGGCTGTGAGACAAAGGAAATGAGGGATTATGCCTTGCAAGTGCTGAGGATTGCAGACTTCTACAGACTTGGGGTGATTGACTTAAATTTGAAGAGTTATCTAGAGGAGGCTAAATAAAAATTTATAATTATACATTAATATTTACCAGATTAAAAACAAACTGCATCATTAAAAGAGACTGAAGAGTAAGAGATTATTATTTATTTACCATCTGAGCTATTTTATTGTGTTTTGACTTGCATATTCATTAATAAAAAATATAATAAATAGTCTTTAAACATTCAAATTTGGTATAACCAATTAATAAAGTATAAAGAAATAAACAATATAATTTTTAAAAAAAATATCCTCTCTTTTACGTATTTTTAAAATTTTGGACCTAAGTAACCCTTGCTAGAAACTTCTTTAGATCACTCATTTAATTTAACAGAAATTGCATATAAATTCACTAGTTAGACACATTTCCTTGCTAAAGAATCTGCTAATGAAATGATACTTCTAACTAGCAAATATAAAACAGAATAAAGACAAAAAGAATAAAACAAAAGAGAGAAAACAGAGAAAATTAAGAAGACAATAATAAGTTCTAATTATTGCACATAAGCTGCAAGCATATAGAACTAAAGCACTTTTTTTTTGCAGATATAATTGTGTGAACTAATGATGAGATTATATCCTTTTTTTATTATTATTTTGTTTTATGGTCTTATTTAATTTTAAATAATATAAAAAAATATTTTATTTTAAACATTTCTTCTTTTTTTCTTTTAAAAAATCTTTATATTTTTTCCCATGCAAAATACTCTTAAATAGGGTACAAACTATTTTTTTAAGCTCAAAATTATCCCTATGTCTTGCTTTGTTCTTCTGTACAAAAATTGACAACTTTTTTTTGGTTTGTGTCAGACCAAAGTATAATCGCTTGACTGTAGTTAAAACGTTTTTGCATTATAAACAATATTATTTTATAGTTTCTGAAAAAATAATACTGTCTACACTCTTTAGTATGACCCTTTTCATTAAAAGGAACAATACAATACATTTCCCTTCTATTATAACATGAAAGCAATTTTATTTTAATAGCTTTTAAATGTTTAAATTAAGCAGTTCATTAAAATGTAGAAATCCATTTATTTTATTTTTGGAATTCATTTTGTATATATGATGAGCTACAAGAGACTTAGATTTTTTATTCCAGGTGTTCAGGACTTATGGTCCTAAAAGTCAGGTGCAGTTAATAATATGCAGATAATTTTAGATAATTTACATTTACATCTAAAGAGAATATGGTACTCTTGCATGAAAATCAACATGATATCTGATTAACTTTTTAGATGAGTATGTTGATTTTCATGCAACAATTTTAGAGATTTTTTAAAAATATTTTTCTGCGAAGACCTTAAAATTTTAAAAAATATTTCTATCTTGTACTTTTCTAATTTAAAGTATAACGAATTTTAGAATAATTTTTTTTTCCAATTCAAACTATAGAAGTATAGCAAACAAAAACAAAATATAGTTAATTTATATCTAAATAAACCGCACATACAGCAAAATACAATAGTTATGAAAAGCACTCTGATGCTACAATAAATAACAAGCAAAATCAAGGTAAATTGATTTAACTTTATGTTTAACATATTAATGTTTATTCAAAAACTATTGTAAATTGGGTACTACTTTCAGTCTATGTTCAATTAGGGGACTTGAATGGTGTGTTTCTGTTTGAAATGTAATTTTGTGCATCAGACATTTTCTTTCTCTATCTCTTTTATTTATTATCAATTACTCTTTTGAGGAATTTTAGTTTAGTTTCGATTTGACCCAATGAAATTATTTTCTTATTTCTCTCTTGATGCAAGCTATAAGCTAAATTTCTAATACAGCAAAATTCTTTATTTTTAAAAGTTGAAATTGAAAACCGACAATCATTACGAACTACCTCAAAAGAGGGCAGTTTCGAGCAAGAGAGGATGGAACACCTAAATAGTAGTTTCAAAATAATTGGTGGAAAATTATTTACCTGGGAATGAATATTTCGTAGAAGGTAAGGATTTCTGTGACATGAGGTTATATCATGTATCGGAGAGTTTCTTTCACTAGGAGGATGATCAGGAGGAGGAGGAATAAACTCCATCCAATTAAGGACACTTCCCTTTTGACCTGATCTCAGTCTTTTTCTCCGTATTGGCAGGCCATACTCATCTGTATAAAAGAACAAGAGAGGCTTGGATGAAATAAACAGTTAAAGCATACGAAAAAATTAACAAAAAAGATAGAATAGTATATTAAATAAGTTGACTAAATTTATGACTAATTATTTTTATGCCCAGTGGCAGAATTTTTTCGGGCTTTCTGCGACAAAACTCTATAGCACTAATATCTTTCAGCAATGTACATTCAATAATAACAAAGATGTATGTTACTAATTAAAGGTAACAAAAACGCTGTGTTTACAAAAACAAAAAAACAATGTACTTTTTTAATCGAATGTGTAATATTTTTTTTTAATTCTAATATTATGGGCAATATTCTCGTATTTTGTTGGGGGCGCACTAATTATTTCCTTTGTCGCATTTTGCAAATTATCATTAAAAAAATAATTAAACATAATGAAATCTGCAGCAGTGATCAACGGGAAAAAAAATCAACGATGAAATCACGCGAATCAGATTCTTCAGAAAAGTGTCGGTGTTACTCAAATGCAATGTTTCACTTCCAGATTTGATTGCGGTAGAAAATAATATTGTATGAAAACAATATATCGGGTTTTAAAAACAATGTGGAAATCAAAAGCAATAATAATCCAAAAAATTGAAATTGCCTTAAAATTGCCTTAAAAAGTAAATGATCAAATGAGCATTTCGAATTTCCCATATCGCCTATCTGAAATATATCCAGACATCTAAAAGCCATGTGAAAATCAATGTCAATAACTGCTGAAAATATAATCAAAATGGATTTACGATGTCGGCATTAATTGAGGGCTTCAAAAAGTGATTATTTAAATGCGCGATTCAAATTTCTAATGAAAAGCAAACCAAAAATTTTCACTTATCAAAAGAAAAGTCTTTCTGTGAGAACTCAGTAAAATTCTGCGACAATGTCGCCGCGATTCTGCCACGGGGTTTTTATGTTTTGACTACATGACAAATTTCCGATGTAAATCAACACATAATTGACTAAGCATCCTATGTGAGAAAAGTAGCTTATAATTTAAAATATAAACAATAAAAAAAAATTTATACTGGAAAATATGCAGTCATAACTGTAATTTTAAATTAAAACTTTTTAAGTTAAGAAATTATGTTTAAAGTAAAAAATAGAATTTTCAAAAGGAGAAAAAAAAAACACTCAGTCTCTAAAATGCATTTATTAAAAAATCAACTCAATAAAATGTGCTGAATGGAGTATAACTGCCTGTACTGTTATATTGCCTGTTAATTAAATACCTGTAGTATAACTGCCAGAATCACTAGAGGGGCTTATCACATTTCTTGCATCAAGAAGTTGCTCTGTAACACAATCTGGAAGAAGCATACAGATGTTATGATTTGTTACCACCACATTAAAATAATCAATAATAACAGTCATGAGCTTCATAGTGGTTCAAAATAATTATCACGACAACATTTAACAAAAAAATAAAAAATCAGAACAATTTTTAGTGCAATATGTACTAAATTATTTTTAAGAAGGGGAGGCTAAAAAAATGTTTACTACAGTTTTGAAAATTTTATTTAATGCTGCATATTTAATTCTCTCCAACATATAAAACACGGACAACACTCAACGCTTCAAATAAAAAATTAAGATGGGAACAAGTTTATCAAAATAATTTCAAAAAATGGTGCGTACATACTGTAAGAAATCTAAGAACCTGAATTTTCGTGACTTTGAAAAAAGATTCTTAAAGGTGAAGATAGATTGAAACAAGTTTAAAAGAAAACTGATAATTATAGTTATTTAATAGAATAAATTACTTCAAAACTTAATCATATATAATCTACATGCTTAGGAATAAATGTAACCAAAAATAAACAAATGATAGAAAACATAATATATAGTGATTTGGGAAAAAGATGATCAAAATCAAAATAAAAAAAACTAAGAAATCAAACCATTATTAAAGTAAATTGATATTTAATAGCACTTTTGATTTTGCAACAAATGAAATGAAAACATTACTTTTCCTGAAATTTAATAGACAAGATTAAAAAAAAAAAATACTACTAAAATTTTTTATAAGTTTATCATTTTCTAATAAGCAATCAGACAAATTTTGACAATTGAAAAATTGCTGAGTTTCTTGTTGCAAGATTATAAGTCTATAGAAAACAATCCCTTAATTTGAACTAGTGTATGTTTACACTTTTCAAGAATTATTAAGTTACATCATCTATACTAATTAAATGAAGAGTTTGTCTGTCCCTCTTATAACTTCAGAACTGTTTATGTGAAAGAAAGGCTTTATTTCTTTAAAAAATTTGCTCTTCTTCAATAGTCTGTGTGTGAAACACTTGCTGTGTATGACCTTGGGGTCAAGTGCCTGTTACTGACTTACAATGAAAAGAGGTGTGAAATTATAAAAAAAAAGAAAATGATTCTGTAAAAAGTGTGGGATAAATTAAGAAAATTTTCATTCCGTTACTTATTCAGCAATAATTTGTTCTTCTGAAGAAAAGGGTAAGATGAAGAATTCGTTCAGTTTCTCACACTAACTTCTTTTCATTTGAAATTTCATTTTTTGAATTTATACCAGTTTTGACATTGATAAAGCTAGTTTTTCATATTTCTTTTTAGTAATAGAAATTATGGAAAAAAAAACCCAAATGAAATGAATAATTAAAAAAAAAAAAAAAAAAAGTCGTGCATTTATCTAAATAATATGTTCTAAACCAACAAACAAACAAAAAAAAGAAGGTAGATCAGGACAAATAAGGACAGATTTATTGATTTAGGAAAATCAGAAATATCAGGACAACTACATACTAACCCTGCATTTAAAAAAACATTCAAAAACAAAAAAAAACATTCATACTAACCCTGCATTCATAAAAACATTCAAAAACAAAAAATTATGAAATAAAAAAAGCAAAAAAATTGTTTATTTAAATATTTATGTTTATGGAGTATCTATACTTATTACAATAATATACGATTTTACATAAAATTAATAAAAAAAAAATTTAAGAAAAAAGAAATTTGAAAGTCAAAAATACTAAAAGACTCCATTTTCATTGAAGATGAATGAATGTATAAAATAAGAAAGAAAAATTATTACTAAAAGAAGAAAAAAAAATTTGAAAAAAATTTTGAACTTCGATAATATATCCGTTGTTGAACAGCCGACCAAATTTTGGGTTTCCGACTACTAATGCTCAACTTTGTAGCCTTGTAATTTTGAACCAATCCAGAAGACAAGGAAACTCCTGAATCATGAAGTATGATTTGATATGGGAACATGGAGGACTTTGTGACTCGACAGATTTAACATGCATCAGCCACCATTTACTACACGGGGGTCTTCGGCTGACGGGGATCTAACCCACGAACTCTTTATACATGGGCCCAGTGCTCCACCAACCAGGCTATCCCGACACAACTTTGATAATAGTAAACGTTATAATAATAATAAAAATATTTAAACGATAATAATGAGCAGTTAAATGGTTAAAATACGTAAATGACGCAAACCAAAACAGTGGGTTTTAAAGCAATATTTTCTCAATAAATTGCAGTATAACACTTAAATATTTTTAAAATAAGCGAAAAAGAATTAAATTCGTAGATAAATCATTAAACAGAGTATAACTTGCTGCATTGGCAATTTTTGAACAATTTTGTAACTGTTGATATAAGTAGTGTTATAACACTGTATTCATATACTTTGAATTAAATTCAAAAGTTGAAAATGTAAGAAGAAAAAAGAAAATTATGCATTCTATTACGTTAACTATAGATGTTACTTTGTGAAATCTGGTTTACCTTTATCATTTATAGAACAAGCAGATAAACTATTTAATGCCTAACACTGGCATGCTAAATATACTATAATATTTATTTACTAATAAGAAACAAATACAATATATCTAATATGTTCATTATATCACATTCTTGAATTGTTGTTATTCTTTAAAACTCATCAATTTAAACAAAAAACGATGAGATTAGCATTAAAATACCTTCTATCAAACGAGCTTCCATATCATACATCTTATCAGATTTTTTGCTTACTTCAGAGCCACTGCTTTTACCATCATGGACCTAAAGGTACAAAAAATTAAACTTATATTTATGTGAAAATACACTGAAAATACTATATTACAGATTAAATAAACAGTTGCGGACTGCTACTGAACTGAAAAGAAGATTGGCCATAGAAGGATCAATATTATTTGAATTTAAATTATTGAAAATTTGTAAAATTAAGATAAATTTTTGTATATAATTTGCAAAATTATTACAGAATAAGCAAATTAAAAATTAAAAGCATACATTAAAAAAAAAAAAAAAAACAATTTCAAAGATTTAGAAGACAGATTCAAACTCTCACAAAAACTGAGCAGTTCAATTCAATTTCAAAATATATCAGAATATTTTTACTGAAGGAGTTAGGCAAAAAGTGTGAACTTAATGCTACTGGTTATATTAAATTTAGATTTTTAAAGTTAAAAAACTATTCTTTAATAAGACATCATTAAAAAAAAACAGCTCTCATAGTATATTTTTACTTTTTAATTAAAGAGGCATTCAGTGTTTTCATCACAGAAAAAAAAATGGGTGAGAATTTCTCACCCTTTCTCAAAAAACAGGGTGAGATTTCAAAAAGTTAAGTGAGATTTCTAAACATTAAAAAAAACACGAATAGACTTGGTAAAAATTATTTCTTTAATTATAATGCATTTTTAACATCTTCTAATTGAATATTTTTGCTGCATCATCATATGGAAAATGTTCTATATCTACTTTTTCATCAGTTATTATATTTATTTGGATGAAAAATATCCGTATTTGTTTCGTTTTGACCGTTTCTACCTACATTTGTTTAATTTTCATTTGTCCGTTATGGAGTAGAAGATGTCGCCTTAGCAAGGTATTTGTCCATCTTNGTAAACACGTGGTTGCAGTGAAATGCGTTCTGAAAGAGGTTCGGAGGGATGGTGTTCTGTTGTTCTTAAAGGTTCTGAACAATACTGGTAAATAGGGATGGGGCAGATGTTGAAAATAATGAAAGATCCAGGAAGAAAAGTGAAACGGATTTTATTCTAAATGGCGCAGTGAGAAATTTTTTTTCAAAATGCGAGAAATTCGCGAATTTGGAAATTGGTTTATAGAATGCACGAATTTCTCGCGGTAATCATATTTTAATGCGAAAAAAGAAAAAAAATATGTGAGATTCTTGCGTTCTCGCGCTGTAGTGAAAACACTGGGCATTTCACAGCAGATAATTCCAAATTAGATTTGATTATCACTTAAAATACTTTGTTCAAAATATCACAGAACTGGGGAACCCACATGTTTTAAAAGGAAAAATTAAATTCATAATAAAAATTATAACAAATTCTGTAAAAAAATATTAATAATAGCCTGAACAATATAAGTGAGTAGAGAATACGCTTCATTACATTTATAATTATATTATTTTTTTATAAGTTCACAATGAGTTATTTGGATTGAAATCCAGTATTTAAGTATATAACCATAGCAAGCATAAATGTTGATAATTTAAAAAATAACATTCAATAGGAATTTCACTTTAAAACTGAAGAGTTTGCGTTTGCATAATAGGCTACTTACAGATCCACTGTGATGTCTTGCAGATGGATTGATGAGAGTAGTAGTAGCATAAGGAGCAGGAACACAAGGAAGTTCTTTTTTGTAAAAAGTTGTCATGTTGTGTGTATCCACTTCCGCATAGTCAGAAGCACCACCACTGCTTAAAAAAGGGGAATAGAGGCTGTAAATAACAATTGAAACAATACTACAACACATGCAGACAATAACATAAAACATTAAAAAAAAATTATCTAGCTCACTCCACTGAATGTCTAGTTATAAAAGAATTCCTGTTTCGCGATCTAAAAATTGAATACCACAAGAATAAGAATACCACAAAATAAAATAAAATAAGTAGTTTATTTTTAACAGTTTAAAAAGTTTATTTTTCTTTGCTAAATTACACATAAACAATAATACAATGCAATAAATAATACAATTAGTTTTAAAATAAACTGAATCTACAGGAGTGAAAAATGAATACCACAAAATATGTACTATAACAAGTATTCTCTCCAAGATTACATATTTATCCCCCTAATTGTCGTAATAATTTAGTGCTTTATGATTGAATTAAAAAAACTTTTAAGAGAAAAATATTTTACTTAAGCCCAAAATTCTTTAGGGTATATAGAGATTATTTTGAAACTAGACATATCTAATTATATTAATCAGTGACTTACAAAATTAAAAAATATTTGAGTTTAAATTCATAAGAATAATACTCCAAATTACATTAAAAAATAAGCAATATTACTAATATTAAAAAAACAATTAATCTTTGACATATACGTATGCATATAGTAGATATCATAAAATTTAATGATCTAAAAACAAGATGACAACCTCAAGCTTACAACTTTAAAGTTATCTAACAGGGGTCTGTCTAGGTTTTTCTGACAGGTACCTATTTTGTGAAAATTTAGACGTAATTTGTGAAAAATTAAAAATTATATTAAAAAATCAACACAAAAATATGGATTTATCGTTTCTTAAGGGATACAAAAATGAAATTTTAAGAAAAAGTATTTTGTGAAACTACCGTTTTTCCTAAAATTGAATTTGTGAAACTACCGTTTTTCCTAAAGTTGAATTTGTGAAGGTACCGCTAAACGGTAGTAAATTCGGCCTGGACAGACCCCTGTCTAACCAATCTTCAACCTGCTGCAAAAAATTCTAATTGGAATGATGGTTTGAAAAAATATTAAAATGCTTGACATGGGTAAAAGAAACTCTTTTATGCTACAAAATATTGCAACAAAAAATAAATTTTTTTTTCTCAAGTGATCAAAGATCAGCTATACAATATAAATAAATATACCAATTCAGCTAGAAAATAAATATACCAATTCAGAAAAATCAAACTTAGTTAAATAAAAAGGCTTCGAATTATACCAGATGTGTTTATGAATGAATGATATGTGATTGTCACAATATTAGTAAGCATTAGAACATGCTCCCCAAAATTTAGAAACACGGATAAAAGTTTATTAAAATTACTTTGTAATTTAAGTCAGTTTTTCATAGTGGTAATTGAAATTTCAATATAAGGTAAAAGTTTACAAAATCTTGAAATTAAAACATTCATAGTAATAAAAAAAACAATTTTTGAAATACACATATAAATATTTATAATTATCGATTAGTGTAAATCAAATTAGATTGAATTTCCATTGGAAGACAATACTAGTTTTTTTCTGAATGTCTCATATTAATAAATTAATACATTTTTTTATAAATAGCCATTCACAAATGTAAGAGATAACGAAAAATTACCATAATAAACAAGACAGATTAATTAATAGAAAAATGGTTAGTTAAAGCAGAAAATGTTATGAGTAAGGTTTAGTCAGCTAAAACTAAGTGACATACCTTATGTAGCTATGATCAACTCCTGGAGGGACATTATTTAGCAGTTTACTATCTGGCATGCAGTTTTTCATAGTAGGAGTTGGATGCCAGGCTGGATTAATCCAAAGAGCTTCACGAGTGCTTACGCCAACACTGTTGAATGTTAATAGGAAAGAAGAGTTACTAAGATTAGTAATTAGCAACCCAACACCAAGTAATAATACCATGCAGAGAGTAAGAAAACTAACAAATTATACCTATCTGAAGCTGATTGTGATATTTTAAAACTAATAATAAAAGTATTTAGGATATAATTTCTACAGAATATTTTGATTATCTTAAAAATTTGTAACAATTGAATTTATATCGAATTTCTACAACTAATACTTCTACAACTAATAATTAAAAGGTGTTAACATTACAAATGTACACATTTAAGTACATATAACTCACATAAAATTTTTAAGCTTTAATAAAAAATGCTTTCAAGCATTGTCAAAAAATCCTAACACTATCGTTTGTACAAAAAATAAATCTTCTAAGAAGTCTCATTAAATATAGGCTAAACAAGTATAAATAATTTAATTTTTGCAAATGAAAATATTAAAAAGATAATAATTATTCAAAAATTATAAACAAAATAACAGAATTACACAACAATAATAAATGATTATTTTTAAAACATTGCAATTCTCTTCTTTTGGTAAAGAAAATGTCATCAAACATATTTATATATTCATTTATTATTTCCACGATAGCTCCATAAAGACCCTTATGTAGAAGGCTGCTCCCGTATTTAACTAAAGCAAATAGTAAGAAAAACTTTCAAAAATGTTCAAACTATCACTACATATATTTAACAATTAAACATTTGCTCTTCAGTTACTTAAAACAGGTTTTTTCTTCACTATTTGAATGCAGATATTTATCATGTTACTTTCTCTTTGTTTTTTTTTATATGGTATATATTTTTCTGAAACATTGTATTAAAATAATTAATTAAATATGTGACAGTACTGGATGGTTAAAATGATCTTCTGATTTAGAAACTTTTTGAGAAAACAACTTTTGTGTGTGTGTTTTCTGAAAAAGCAAATTTTCATTCTGACTTTTTTAAAAAGCATAAGGAAGAAAAAAGATTCAAGCATAACAAATTCTATTAATTTTAATGCATTCATTTTTTTCTTCTTAAAAAGTAATTATCTCAATATTTGCCATCCAAATATTATAGACTGATGCAATACATTTTAAATCTAATATATTTATGATAATGTAGAAATGTTATGCTTGCTTCAAAAAATGAATATATAATCATGTAAGTACATCAAATTCTTACATAACTATCAATATAATAATTTTTTTTAAATATGTTGATTTATGGATACCTTACATAAAGAAACACTTCACTTAATAAAAAGCATAGGAAATATTTAACTTACAACTCAGATAACATAATATAAAAAAATCATAACTTACCGAACATCCTCAGGTTTATGAACGGGACCTAAAATGAAAGTAATACTTAGAAAATATTAACAGAATACATTGAATAAAAAAAGAAAGAAAATTAATCTTATTTTCTTACCAGAGAGATGTGCTTGCAATTCCTTTTTCCATGCCTTTCGGCGACGGATGAAAAGACCAACAAAAAAGGCAGAAAGAAGGATAAATATTAAGCCGCCAACTACAGCAATAAACCAAGGCTGTTGCACAATATCTCCAATGTCAGAAGCAGCAGATGTAGGTTTTTCATTAAATGTAACAGCTTCAAAATCTAATTAAAACAAATTTTTATGTAGTGTCTGATTGATATCATCTTTTTCTTTAAAGTCATAAATCAAATTTTAAATGAATTGTTATCAATAAACAAGACTTGGAACATACCTATCTTTGGTTGAATTGGTAGGGAAAAAGGACCAGTACCAACAGCTGTAAAAGCAGCAGCTTGTATTTTGTAAATACTTCCATCGGTTAAATTTGTTAGAGAAACAGATGTAGTGGTTGCATTAGTTTTGATGAACGAATGAAGATGAGATGAATTGTCCAAAATTTTAATCTAAAAAATATTTTTTATTTATAGAATCAAAGACTATTGTGAAGTGGAATTTTGTAATAATCATCAAATTACAAAAGCTAAGAGGATATTTAATAAAATACCACTACAAGCAAATGTTGTTTTATTAAACCAAACTAGATAAATATTGAAATAAATTTAATCAAAAATGGAAAATCACTAACTTCTTTGATACTTTTTAGCACTCTACTAAATATTTTATAGATATAAAAGAAAAATTATAAATTTACAAAAGTTAAGAGAATATTGATTAAAATAACAATGCAAGCAAATATTACTTCATAAAATTAAACAATTACCAAGATTAACATTGAAATTAATTTAATTAAAGTTGGAAAAGCACTAACTCTGTGATACTTTTTAGTACTCAACTTAATTTTTTTGTTAATGATGTTGTTAATTTTTTTTAAGCAATATAATTTTTTAGTAAAATTACCAAGCTAAATGAATTTGATTTCAAAGTAGTATACACTAATATTATTTGATTGTGTTAAAAATAATTAAATAAATAAAAAAAATCTAGAATGAAAACTACCAAGATAGGACAATAAAAAAATAAAAAAGTAGAAAGTTACTAAATTTTTAAACTTTTAAAGTGAAAAATATTTATTTAATAATTTGTTTCCCAATGGCAAATGAACAGCTAATTAGTATTGAGCAAATACATGGCCATTTTAATTAATTACTAGAAATTAGAGGTTTATGAATAATTAATGTAAAACATTTATTCATTAAGTATCTGTTAACTGCATTAATATTTACTGAATTGATAGCTCACATAATATTATCATCACAGATTTATCATAAGAATATTAGGAAAAAAAAGAGTGCAGTTTAAACTTATTTTCTAAATATTTTAATAAGCTAAATAAAAATTTCATTCTTTGAAAAATAATTAATAAACAACTAAGATTTAAAGAGATATTTAACAACTGTATTTAACATTCAAGATGCGTTAAAATTTTTGCATAAGGGAAAAAAAGCCATTTGAGTTAAAGGACAAGATTTGCCAATGTGATTTCAAGAATTAAATAATTGCAGATAAATCTACAAAAAAAGGTAAAAATTTAAAAACAAATCGTCTAAAACTGAATTTTTAAAAATTTCAATGAAAGAAAAATATATTAAAAATGGTGCTAAATGCTTGGATAACTATTTAAAAAAAAATGATAAATCACAGTTACAAATTTAAGATAAAAGTATATTTAAATTTATAGCAAAATATGAATAGATGATATAGTAGAATTGATGCAAACAAATAATACAATGCAACAAATTGTATATATTCAGTATCAACTTTAATAAAACATAGTCCTAAATATATTATAAACATGTCTTATGAGCCAAGATTATGCTTTAAACATAATAATATATTTACTAAAATGATATATATATTTACAATACCAAATGAAACTTACTAGATAACCTTGCATCAATCCATTACGGTGTTGTGGTGGTGGCGGTGACCAGGACACTGTTGCACTTCCAGGGCCATTAACTTTCATTTGTAAATTTACTGGAGGTGCAGAAGGAACTATAAATAAGACATTTACAAATTAGGGACAAATGATTTTCCTCTGGAAAAAAATATACCTCTCATACTCTCGTATGGGACCAAAGAAACAATTTGGGACATTTTCGGTACAGTATGCATATATGTATTGGATCACTTATGAAAAAGGCATATTACAATTTAAAAAAGTATAAATTGTGTAAAAAAAAGTAAAACTTATTACAAAATAATAATAAAATATATAATTTCTAATTTCCGAATTATTTTGTTCAAAGCAGAAGGTTTTTACAGTTTCCAGAATAATATTATTAAGGAAGCACTTAACAAACCCACAATAGTTTGAGATCAATACACGAAAATGTTTTTACACTGCTATTGCAGTAACAATAAGTAAATATACTTTCAGACCAATATTTAATCAAAATCTGTAATCAACTAAAATAATTTAATAATCAAATAGTTTTGAAGTAGAATTTCAATAATCTTAGTAAAAAACAGTGAAAATGCAGTTTAAAATTAGTGTACAAAAGTAATTCATTGGATAATCCCGTAATTCACTATTTAAACTATTTACTCTATCGTTGATTGCAATCAATTACTTTTAAAATTAGATGAAAGAGATGTATTAATAATTGTGAAACTACATAACTCCATCCTATAAAAATTTTATAAGTTGTTTCAGTAAGTTTCTTTTTAATAAAATGAATGAATTTCTAAATACCTGAACAGTATATATAAATAGTGGACAGCCAATAAGCCTGAACTATCAAATGTTGCGATTTTTACTAGCGTTATTAACTGAAACAGATTGTATTAAAAATATTTCAATGCTTCAAAACAATTTTACTTTAAATCCACAATTATATTCTTAGAAAAGAGGATGTTTTGAAAATACACAAAAATCAGGATGTTCAAGATAAAAATCAGGACAAATAGCACAAAAAAAGTTTTATTTGAAAATCAGGATAACTTCACACTCTGATAAGAAAAATAAGGTTTGTTTGAAAACCAGACTGAAAGAAAAATAAGACTTACCATCTTCTAATGTCTGAGCTATTTTTGAATTACTTGGAGGACCTTCAACATTTTTATAAAAGGGAACTAAGAAAAATTCGTATTTGGCAAATTTCTTCAGATCTGATAATACATAAGATGTGGACCCAGCATTCAAAACAGTAACCATATTGTATTTTTGAGATCCTCCTCCCAAATCAAGAAACCTAATATAAAATCCTTCAATAAAACCGGAAGAGCCTTGTATCTAATGAAACAGAAGAAAAAAAAGACATAAGAGAATATATATATATTAGTTGCTTTTAACAATTTTAGCAAAATAGTAAAGAAACGAAAGATGCTCAACATTTGCTTATGATTAAGAAATAACTATTTATATAAAAGGTAAAATAACATGTTCCATCATTAAAAACAAAAATATCAAACAAAAGTACAGTTCAGAGACAGAGAAGCAAGGTAGATAACATTTATACATTTTTATAACAAGAAAATATGGGAAAAAATTATTATATTAATTATTAATAAAAATTAATTCTGATAACTGATTTTAAAAGTTTTACTTCACTATGACTTGAGAAAAAAATATTGATATTGGATGGAAAATTAAGAAACTAAAATTAAGCAATTTTCCATTAGATTTTAAAAAACGAAGTATAGAATATTAAATAAGTCATGTAAAAGTAAAGAAATAAGCAATATTTCTCAACATTATTCAAAATAATTTTTCTATTGAGTTGTTTTAATGTAATAAAATCGTTTTCACATACTTTCCACATCATCTTTACAGCAGTTGAGCTTATGGCATTTACCGATTGTAAAAATATTACTATATCACTCAAATGAGACCGGGCTTCAGCTAAATTATAATTAGGAATAACAGATGAATGTCCTAAAATAAAGAAAACCAATTATAAAAATCTTGGAAGCATAATGAATCAAAACTACAAATGTAGTTTTAAGCAACAAATCACTCTTTTACTTTAATTTTGAATCCTAAATTGTTAATTTTTAGTTTTCTCATCTTATATTTTACCAGCAGTTTTAACAGAAGTGAACCATTTAACAGTACACACTATAATACAATATGAATTACATGTATGAAAAGCCTGAAATACATATCAACAATTTACAAACTGATAACATACAAATAAAAAGGGTTAAAGAAATCTCATTATTACAAATCATTTGTGAAATTTATCCTTTACAGAAAAACTATTTTAAATTAGAAACTTGAAAAAATATGATGCTATCCCACCAGCAAAAGAAATGAATGATAAGAAGACTTTAAATAAAAGTATTACTTGCAATACAGGATTTCAGGAAATTTAAAACTTTTTTTAAAATTTGATTAAAATTTAATAACGAAAACCATTTTACAAATTTTTTTTAAAAATAGAATTTGAGTTTTGAGGACATTGCAAAATATTTTTTATGTTTTTATGCACAGATTATCACAAATATTGTTAAAGAATTAATAAATAAAATAAAATGAAACAAAGAACATAATTACTAAATTTCTGATAATTTTTTTTTTAAACTTCAGAAGCTTTTATTTATTTTTTATAAACTGACCATAAAAAATCAGTAATAGAAAAATCTTTTTTCCATACCATGAGTGTGAATGACTTCAGAAATCGGACTTGGATAACTTAATCCATGTGAATTTTCAGCTCGGATAAGAAATGTATATTTAGTGTCAGGTCTGAGATTAGAGGCAACAAAGGATTCCTTAGGTACTCGATGAGCAAGTACAACCCAACCACTCTGAAGATCACTACTGTAATACTCAACTAAAAAAAAAAGCAAGTTTTAACTATAATTACAAAAATTCACTCAAAAGCATCAAATATAATTAAGTATATATATAAAAAAAATATTTATGACTTTTTTTAAAGTAAAAGTAATAAATATTAAACTTTTACAAAGCACTTATTTTTCAGTTAAAATATTTAAGTTTCTTCATTTTTATTTAAAATATTGTCTGAACCACTCTTAAGCTAATTGCTCTAAAACTTAACTGAAAAAATACTAATACAAAAATCTACTAATACAAAAATTTACTAAAAAGCTTCATATATATATTGGTAAAAAAAACATCTGAGATTATTTTTAAAGAAAAGAGATATTTTTAAAGTACTTTTCTTCAATTTTATTATTTCAGTTTTTATTTGTTAATTAAAATATTGTGAAAAAGGTTAAAAAATTGTCTGTTTCTTATTTAACAAAAGCCTATCAGAGTAAAGAAACAGCACAAGACAGAGTCAACTGCAACATTTTGAAACTAACCAACTTGATGTTAAATGCTAATTATAAATTTTGATTTTTATTAAATATATTTTATAATATTCACAACAAATTGAAATTAACAAGCATGATATGCTGTTAGAAAAATCTTATACATGGTTCCCATTCAATTTAAGAAAAAAAAAATCATTGACTCTTCCAGGTATAGCAGGTAAATTTCATTGAAAATTGATCATATTTTTATCTATACAAAGCTATTTTTATCAGAAAACTTTGATCTTTTCATATATGTAATGCCAAATATTAGAGCTTGTGAGCAAAAAAAAAAAAAAAAAAAAAAAAAAAAAAAAAAAAAAAAAAAAAAAAAAAACACTATTGAATGATGATGGAAATGTAAGCAATTTGTCTAAAATGTGAAATTTTTATAACATAAAATTGCAATAGATGTTAGAATTATTTAACTTGAATCTCAACAACTGATTACTGTTACTGGCAATTCTAAGTTAGGTTATTTTCCAGGCATAATGCAGGAATTTTTCAGATTTTTGTAAAAAATTGCCACTTTCCCTGACTATTCAATACTGCTTTTAAAAATCAAAATAAAATTCCCAGACAATTCCAGGTATTATCTATTCTCCCTGACTCATGTCATAGCATCAAAAACATTTAGTGAACGTTATGAACATATAGCATGTAAAGCAATGTCATAAAAAATTTTTGCTTGTAGACTACAATAAAATTGAAAATAATAAGTATTCATTCATAAAATTTATGTTAAAAATCATGATAATTCTACACTTGGAACTAAATGAGAAATATAAGGTTCTGTTAACCAAATACAGATTTAATGCATGTTATGTTAATAGAATAAAAAGAAGAATGTTCAATACACTTTGCGTATATTTTTAAATACAGCGAAATCTCCAAGAAAGACCACCTCTGTGTTGAGACCTCCTCTATTTGCGATCACTTTAGGGAGGCACAGAGTTTTCTCCTTAGACTCTGTGTAGATGCTAAGCTTTAAGAGAGACCATCAAAATCTCTCACAGCAACCGGGAAAACCTTCGCCCAAATACAGAATCGCCCAATACAGAATTCGCCCAAATACAGGTCAAATAAGAAAACACGAAAAATTTCAAAATAAAAAAATATTAACAAAACAAATAATAAGTGAATTCAAATGTATTCAAAATATTTGGGTGAGGCTCTTATTTAGAGAGCTCTTCTTGATGATAACTGAAAAATATTGACAACCTCGTGTTACACTCGGAGTGTACTAAAGATGATGTTATCAATGATTTAGTTCTGGAGTTAAAAGTTAAATTAGGAAAAAAAAGTTCTTTTAGAAAAAACTTAACATCTCAAACAAATAAACATATAATTTTTTTAAAAATAAATGATTTTTTATGATATAAAATTAAATGCGAGCTCCAACAAAAAACATAATTGCTTATTTAAGTCATATAAAACTTTAAACAAACCAATTTTTTAAACATAATTTCAATTTTAAAAATAACACACGTAAATAAAATAAAATTTTGAACAATAATTAAAAGTAAATTACGTTTTCCAATCTATTCATTTAAATATAAATAAAAATATCAATTCAACCTGTGTAGCCAGTAATCTGGGATGCTCCAATTTTTGAACCTTTCTTCCAAGATAATGTTACAGATGTTTCTGTAATGTTTGAAGGAGAAGGTTTTGATGGGGGACTTGGAAATGTTGAAGGATCAGGCATTCTGTGAAATATAACATTTGGGTTTCTGGGAGCTGTAAAAAGATTTCTTTTTAATAATTTGTGCAGTAACAAAAGGCGATGAAAAAAAATAGAAATGTAATAACAGTTTATTATTTCCAGCGAAACAATATAGTAATATATAACCGTACACAATATAATAACTAATAAAAATTACGACTTAGACATATTATGACCGTTTGAATTTTAGATACATCGCATTTTATTGTCGAAAAATAGTCTAATATTGAAATTATCTGTGGATGTGTTCATATATATATATACACACACACAATATGAGTAAATCCAGTAATTTTATTTTTCAGAAATATAAATATCTGCATGTAAAAATATATGAAAAGTTACTATAGTAAAAAAGTAATTAACTTAGGAAATTTTTATGATAACTATTTCATTGTTTACACCAGTGTTCCATAAACTATTTTAACCAAATCCTTACCAAAAACTGAGTATTTTATTTTTATGAGAAAGTTGTTATTCAATTTGCGTTAATCAAATATAAAAAGGTATAAATGCAAAAAATATTAAACTTAAAATTTTTTTTTTGACAAAATGTAATAATAAATATCAAGACTTAAATGAGATAAAAAGATTTTTGAATGGGAAAAGGTTGAAATTATTGGTAAAAACTTTAACACTTACGAGTCTGTGCTTCGCCACTTTTAATGTTATTAAGAAACAAAAAATACATATCATGCACTCTTTTTTATAAATAAAACTTCTGCTACTAAAGTTTTTAATAATTATACCTATTTGTTTCCGTTAAGCATAGGTTCTTTAAAAAAATAACAATAATAATGACTTGTATCACAGACCATTTCGAACTCTTTCACAGATAACTGGTTTAAGTAGAAATACTTATTAGTGATAATTGAATATACGTTAATCTAATTTTTCTTCTCATTGTGAGACTTACAAGCAACTTTAAGAGTGGCACTCCAAGATGTTTCCCCACTCTCACTTGAAGCTGTGCAAGTATAAAGACCGGAATCTTCTGGTTGAACAGCTGGAAATGAAATAAACAGAATGCATTAAATAACTCATAAAATCCAATACAATATACATATTTATATATAAGCTGAGAAAAAACTTAGAACCTAGTAATATGCAAAATTCTATAATAATGGAAAAATTTTAAAATATAATAAATACCTACATATTTGCTTTGCTTTAAAAAAGAAAATAGCGGTTTCATTTGATAACAATTGGTGAGTTGACTTTAAAACGATGTAAAATTAAAAATGGAATGAGTGAAATGTTTTATTAACTGAGTTTTTTTTTCCCACTAAAATAACAGAGCTCTATTTCATCACAATAATAGGGCCCAAGTGATCAAATCAAATTAACATTAGCAGCCCTATAGCTCAAAACAGTATCATCATAAATAAATGATAATAGCCTAAAATAGAGGTTCCTAATTTTCCTCGGCTATGGAACCCTAAAAGATCATCCTTCTTACATGGAACATCGACTTTATAAATAAGGTCAAAAACGAGAGCATTAACCTATAAAAGACTACTCAATTTTGAAAATATTTAATTACAGAAATGAAGTTTTGTCCTCCTTTTATTATTAATAGTCTTAGGTTTTATATCTGACAGTTAATTTTATAGTCCCAAAGCTGTATATAGTCTAGTTATAAATTTGTTTGTGGTGTATATACATAAGCTGAAAATGAATAAAATATTATGATGTAGATCCACTAAGTCTCATTAATAGGATATATAAATATAACAGTGCAAAATAAAGTTAATATTCACTATTTTTAAGCATTAACCATGTTGGTTTTTCTTATATTTGCGAATCAGTACTTACAATCAATTTGCAACGTTCCTGAATCAAGGATGACAAATCTGGGATTACTGGACTGTAAAGGAGAAGCATCTGAATACCATCTTATGATTGGTGGAGGTTCACCAGTTGCCTCACAAGGTAGCATGGCTACAGTATTTAAGGGTAAAGTTTGATTAGCAGGTCCTAGTTTTATGACCGGGGCAGGTAGATCTCCTATAGCTATAAATAGTTAATAAGATAATTATTAATTCAAATCACATAAAACAAATATTCATAATAAGTGATATTTGGCGATTTGTGTAGTAATAGTAATACTTTATATTTCATTTGAGATGTAATTAATTTTCTTTACAAATTCATGTGTTCTTTGCAAATCTATATAGGATAATGTAACAACCAATAAAAATAAACTAAAATAAAATTAAAATTTTATCAATTTTCTAAAAATAAAACATTTAAAAATCGTCTCTATCAGTTAAAAAATAAAAATAGAATTAAGGTAAAATTTACTTTTAAGTGATGAAAATTTTTTCTCTCACCAAAATATAATTTAAATGCTTATGACCCTAAATTTTGTTTTCATATGCCATTTGTTTGTTATGGATATAACTAGAAAAAATAAAATTATGGTAATTATTTCCATTCATGTTTTTAGAAATTGTTACTGTCCTAGGGTACAAAACTTTCCCCAAACTGCTGCCATTTTACATTTCTAAATTATAACTAGTTGTGTTTAAAAATGGATATTTTGTAGCAAAACTTACTTTCCAATGCACATTTCCATTTGCATGGTTTAAAAATTGTTTCTCCCATTATACATACTTATACACTTAAACTAGATAATAATATTTTGATCTTATTTAACAGTTTATCTAAAATCATAACTTCTTTAAATTGAAAAAAAATTACCTGTAACTTCCAAATAAGCTTTAGTCATTGAAGATCCAATGCCGGAAAGAACTGAACAAATATAATAACCATCATCTTCTTTTCTGACACCAGATATTGTTAGAGTTCCTTCTCGATTGACAGCAAATCTTCCATAGGATCTTTCAGGAAACATTAAAACCTAAAGAGAAGTTCAATAGATAATTTTTAGATTCATGTAAAGATAAAATTAAATGTAGAGTTGATTAGATGATAATTGTAAGGAGAAAAAACATGAGGCATAAAAATTCAAAATAAATTTAAAAATTGACATTTGTAAATGTAAATGCTGTTATGACTAACACTATTAGAATTAGAAAATGTACAATAGTGATAAAAATATATTTGTTTTTTAATGATAAGACCAATCCAAGTCAAAATCTCAATAAGATGGTAATTAAGCTTTCAGGCTTCTTAAGAAAAATGGCTTATTAACATAAATATTGATTAAATCCAGAAGCTTTTAATCAGAAGAGCGTTAAAATCCAGTAAACCCAATAAAATCCCAGATCATAAATCTTAAGAAATCAAATATTAAGTCTTGTGAATCAAATAACACATTTAAATTTCTTGAATCAAATTAGAATTTATAAAACATTATTATCAGAATTTGTTAATTTAAAGCAGCTTAATTTAAATCAACCTAAAAATTTACAAAGCATTCAGACACTTTGGATTTCTTAACATTGCAAATAGTATTTCAGTAGCTTAAGATTGCCTTTTCTTTAAATGTGATTTTTTTTTAATAAATGATGGGTATTTAAAATTATTCTATATAGAAATATTTATAAAAATAAAAATAATACATAAAGCACAATTATTTATTTTGTCATAGCTAATATTGAAAAAAAAAAATTGCTTTCAAGTTGTAATTTATAACACATTTCTATTTCATTTTCAATTCATTTTAATCATGCATCACTATAAAATAATTTTTAATACAGCAACATTATTTGAATTGCATTGTTATGATTTATTTTTAATAATATTTTACTTATTATTACATTTATAAAATTTAATTAATTATAAATTTAAATCTTTAAAATATTTCAAAAAAAATCTGATTTAAATAAAAAGAAATGCTTTAAATCAGAGAGATCAGATTTTTTTTGATTATTTAAAAAAATAGTATAACCCCTGCTTATTATAGAACGAAATGTAAACTCGTGTTTTGAATGATAAATTGATCGAATCATGATCTACGGGATTTAAAAAATGTTTTTAGCTATAAAATGGGCAAAACGATGAATCGTTACAACTAATAATACTGCTATAATTATGCATTATCATTAATACTAATTATTGTACTAAAAACGTAAAGTGACATTAAAAAATTATTTCAGTTTTAAAAAGTAGCATAACATTAATACCTGATTTCCTTCTTTAGTCCAAAATATTGAAGGTGGTGGATTTCCAGTTGCAGCACATTCAAATTTAGCTATTCCATTTAATCCAATCCTCTGATCCTTGGGTCGTGAAAGAAAATTAGGGCGAGCTAGAGATAGAAATAGAACTATAAGTAGATTCAGACTATAAAAATATAAAGCAAATGAATTAAATCTAATAACAAATTAACAGTCTAATAATAAACGATTTTTTTTTGACTGGTTCACTAATTGAAGATACCTAAGAGGTCATGTGACCAACCTCATACAACTCATTGTGTCGAAAAAGTTTAGCAAATCTCATTAATTAAAATAAACTTTTTAATGGCAAATCATATTATAGCTAATTCAATAACAAATACTCTTCTCCCAACTGAACCTGAATATTTCCTTTTCACATATCTTCTGCAAAAAGTTCAAAAATTTTTACAAAACGAGTTAAAAAATGAAAGATTCATAAAAATAAAGCAAAATACTAGCAAGAAAAAAATGTGTACAAAATAATAAAGAGCATAAATATTGAAAAAAAAAACTACTTTATTATTAATGGTTTAAATATAATATATAAAAAATAATACATTTTTTTTTCTATAGATTTGTTTAATTTTTTATAGTTAAGGAAATTCCCCTAAATTAATGCAATTCTGAATCAGTTACGTCTTTCTGGGTTTGTAAAATGAAATTTAGCTTGATATAGTTACCATGTCAAAATTAAAAACTCTTCATATTTAACACAATAAGTTTAATTTCAAATTTTAGTAATTTTCAATACGTCTCTCTGCTTTAAATTTTGTTTATGGTTTTAATTTATTATTTAGTATTTTTCTATTTAGTAAGGTAGAAAAATGACGATTTTCTTTTATATTATTGTTAATCTGTATATTATTGTTGATAATTTAATCTTTCTAATATTATGTATTACTGTTGTTCTAAATATGCTAATACTTATATCTTTATTACTGCATCCTAAATTCTAATTCAGAGAAAAAAGAATTAAAGCTGCAAACATTAAAGCAATAATTACTCGTATAAAAAAAGTATAAACTGCAATAGAAATGAATGAACACTAAGTATGGAAGAAAGACTTGAATCAAATTTTACTAATTGTATTATAACCTATACAGCCACCATTCTCATCTGCAACCAATTTTGAGATTTTGCTAGTAATAAATATTTAAACTTTGTTTAGATAAAGGAACTCTAATTTTTGTAGACTAAAATTCTCAAAGTCAGGTACTAAGAATTATTTTAACTACTCTTAACAATTATACATACAATGCATTTTAAAAAGAGAATTAAACTGTTGGTATCTGTAAATTAAGTTACAAAATAAATAAATGAACTTACAATGAACAGTTAAAGAAACTTNTAGTCCATTGATTCTTCTCAAGACTGATTTCAGTCCCCAGGACTGAAGAGTGGCACCCATGGTTATATCTCTCTGGCTTTGTAAAATGAAATTTAGCTTGATGTCAGCTTTAGCTTACCATGTCAAAATTAAAAACTCTTCATATTTTACACATTAAGTTTAATTTCAAATTTTAGTAATTTTCCATATGTCTCTCTGCTTTAAATTTTGTTTATGGTTTTAATTTATTATTTAGTAAGGTAGAAAAATGACAATTTTCTTTTATATTATTGTTAATCTGTATATTATTGTTGATAATTTAATCTTTCTAATATTATGTACCACTGCTGTTCTAAACATGCTAATCCTCTTAACTTTATTATTGTGTCCTAAATTCTAATTCAGAGAAAAAAGAATAAAGCAGCAAACATTAAAACAATTATTACCCATATAAAAAAAAGTATAAACTTCAGTGGGCAAAACGATGAATGAACACTAAGTACGGAAGCAAGATTAGAGTTATTATGAATGAACACTAAGTATGGAAGCAAGATTTGAGTTAAATTTTACGAAGTATTGTAACTGATACAGAAATCATTCTCATCTGCAACCAATTTTGAGATTTCGCTAGTAATAAACATTTAAACTTTGTTTAGATAAAGGAACTCTAATTTTTGTGGACTAAAATTTTCAAAGTCATGTACTAAGAATTATTTGAACTACTCTTTAACAATTATACATACAATGCATTTTAGAAAGAGATTTAAACTGTTGGTATCTGTAAATTAAGTTACAAAAAAAATGAATGAACTTACAATGAACAGTTAAAGAAACTTCGGATGAAATTGTTCCCACTGAGTTTTCCGCTTCACATACATAAGTACCCTCATCAATAATGCTTGCATTTTTAATAATCAAACTACTATCTTTGGAGACTTCAGCTCTATTTTNAAAAAAAAAAAAAAAAAAAAATAATCAGATCATATTGAACTATTACATACATAAAAAATATATACATGACTGAAAAAGTCAATGCAAAGAAATAGTCAAAACTTACCTTCCAGGTGCAATTTTATTGTCTTTCCTTCTCCAAGTAACTGAAGGAGGTGGATCTCCTTCAACATCACAAGGAAAGGAAACATCAGCTCCAGATAATACAGTAAGATGCTCCGGCTCCTTCACAAAAAATGGTTTCACTGACAAGAACAAAAGTTATTATTAAAAATTCGAGTAGTTTTCAATAAGGTTTAAAAGTTTCTTTGAACAGTAATGTTTAAGCTACTTTTTTTTCTCTTAATTTATATGAAAATCAGTGGGTTTCCAAACCTTTACGCTTTCTCCTGTCAACCAAACTCAACTGAAGAAGGGGTCGAGATAGAAAAATAAAATTCTAACTACGCTTTTAATCCTCCTTATTTAATTTTCTCAGATAAACTGATGGCAGACATTCACTCTGCTCAGCAGTACCTTTCAATGAATGTAAAATACAAGGCTGCCACCCAATCAGAATGGGAGAAATAAAATGTGGGGTATTTTAGATTCCTTCTATATATTATCTATATATTTTTATATATATTCTTTTATAAAAATTATTCTATATATTTTTATATATTATTCTATATATTTTTCAGACAAAATTCTACCAAAGCAATTCTGCAAAAAGCACTTTTTGAAAGATAGTTAAAAAGTATACGGTAATTTGATTTTTGCACCTAACGCTAAAAAAATTTTTTTTTTAGCTTCATCCAAATCGATTTTCATATGTTTAAACCGTAATAAATTACATTTTAATTAAATATAAATACTAAGAGATGTATAGCTATAAATAATTTACTCAAAGCCAAAATTGAACAATAATATTTAAGTTATTAGAAAAAAAAATAGAAATTCAATAAAATGCAATTTTTAATAAAGTGACCCCTTCATTTTCCTATTGTTTTAAAAAGGTATTGTGCTATAGAACAATACTATATCATTAAAAAGAAGAAGAAAAAATATCAAGAAAATACAAATTGAAAATTTATACCTAAAATCCAAGATGGTGAGGGTCGGAGCCTCTTAAGAAATTATACAAATCAATCGTTTAAAAATTAAGTATGCACAAAAATAAATTTAAAAAGTCAACAAAAAATAAAATTAATACGTGGAAAGCGACAAATTGGGGGGTGACATTAAAGAGGGTGCCCCTAATTCAAAAAATTTAAGAGACATTAAGAAATGTACAACTAAAAAAGTTATAACATATAATTTTTCAACTAGACATATCATATGTTTGGAATTCATTTGTTGAAGTTTATATGCTTAAAAACCAGAAATGGCTATACTGTATCAATCAAAGTTTAAAAGTAACTACTATTATTTATTTATTTTTAAGTAAAGAATATAATCTTACTGTCTTCATGAGCTATAATAAATTTAAGTTACATTAACTGTCTAAATATTAGAAAGCTGAAACAAATATAATCTTAGAATATTTATTGACCAAGCATTATTTTTTTTCTCTTTATTAATTTAACATTTCTAACATTTTGTGCTAAATTTATTGATATTTTAAGCAATTTTTTTTTTTTTTTTACATTACTATATCATCTGCTAATAGGAGTTAATAAATTGATAATTCCAAAAATACTTCTTATATTTCATTTAAAGTTAGTAGCCAGATTTTACAACAATAAATAAGCACCTTTTAAGCACTCAAAAAATATTTTTAATCACTTTTCAAAAGATAAAAAAATTCATAATTAGGATCTGTACAGTAATAAAAATTATTTTTTACTGTAATTCGTTTAAAGTTCTTTATTTTATAATCATAGAATCAACAAAATTCAAAAACATTTTCTTTACGTAATCATAAAAACAACTAGTTTCTGATAAATATTGCACAGATAATTGTGAACATCATGCATTTTTTTGTAATTTATGATGACAATCGAGATGGCAATGAAAAAATTTCTTTTTAAAAGGTAGAAAATTAAGCACTTTTTACAAACCCCGAATAAAAAAAGCACCTTTAAGGGATTTTAGAAAACGTAAATCAAACATAAGCACTTTTTAAGAATTCTAAGCACCATGTAATACTTAGAAAGTTACAAAAAAAAGTCAAAAATAAAAATACTAAATAAACAAAATACCATGGACTGCCATGTGGACAGGCAGGGATTCTCTGATTCCAGCCATGTTTTCCGCAACGCATGCATACCTCCCCTCATCACTCTGACGGACTTCAGATATAACAAGGTTTCCAGGTGGTACAATGCGAATTCTACCTTTTCCTGTATTAATTACTTCGCCATCTTTGCGCCAGCGCACAGTAGGTTCAGGGTGTCCTTTTGGAGGAGTACACTCAAGAGTCGCAATTTCTCCAACAGCAGCAGCAACAGCTTTTGGAACAACTCGAAAATCTTCTCTGAGTACTAAAGAATAAAGGTTTATGTTAAGTATATCCTAAGTAAATTACAAAACAAAGGACTTCAGTAAGTTTATAAACATCAAAGAAATCTTAAATTTAGTTATGAAATAATCACCAAAAATTATGGAAAAAAAATCTAGTTAACATACTGAAAGTAGTATTTTAAAATTTTGCTAAAACTGTACTATGAATTTTTTAAACAAAATTTGAAATAGAAATTCCTTAACAATAATCAGCAATTATAAATAAACTTGAAGTAATACATTTTCCCTTTCAGATTAACGGTCATTTAATTAAATTACAACCATTGATTAGAATGAAAATATTTCAATAAATATTTATTTTCTAAGCATTATAGAGATGACTTTTTTTTTTTTGCAGTTTAGTTTGAGTTACCTTAAGTGTTTTGATATGTAGTATAATAATCTCAGCATGCATCTTTTATTAGAATAGAATAATCAAAGCAGAACTAAAAAATGAAAATCTAACAAGATTTCAAAAGTGAAAATTAAGGCAAGTAAATATAAATTTTCATTATTTTAGTAATTGTGACATTTTTAATGTTGGAAGTTGAGTGCAATTATGAAAAATATATGTTGGATTAATTGAGAAGAAGAAATATGTATTCGGTAAGATATAATAAAACAAATTTATGCATAATGAACAGGATCTTCGACATTTGTTTATTAAAATTTAAAATTTGCTTCGCTTCTAGCTGCTTATTTCTGTCTTGTACGGGAGTTGATAGTAGGCAACAAAATATTTTACGAAAACAAAATAATAAAGCCTAAAGGTGGCGCTGAACTTCACGAATTTCTCAAATATTAAATTTCAATGATTGTGATTGGATGATAAATTCTATAATTATATTAAAATACGATTTCTTAATTAGTCTTGATTTTATAGGTTTCATATCTAGATCGGAGGAGAGATTGTGTTTTCACATCAGAAACACGTAAATTTGGGTAAAATATTATTAATTGCAAGTAATCAGTTTTTGCGATACTCAAGAATCGTAATTGTTAAGTACTACTCGTAGCTAACGGTCCCTTGTAGTTATGATTACAATTGCAGTTCAAATGTATGAATGCTTGTAATCCAAATTAAAAATTAAGTTAAATTCTATAAAATAAAAAAAGACATAATAGTTTTAACCTATTTTTACAGCTCATTTGTTGGAACAAAGATTTAAAAAATTACTCAATGAGATGATTATATTAATTTTGATATGCTTTTTAAAAATTTTCTAAGATGCTATTTGTTCTTTTTTTTTAATCTGAAGCAGAGTAACTTATTATTTTCTCAGGAGTTTTGAAAATTAGACAAAAAATATTTAGGAAATTGCACCAATACATATTTTCAAATCTAACTACATAATACATAATTATAAATTATCAATATTAAAAGTGCAAAATAAATATTTATTAACTTTAATGTGTAGTACGTTTCTTTTTACACTTAGCTAAAATTTAGGACAATTTTATGGCTTATCTTGTAAGTTTAAATAAGTTTCGAATGTAGTAACGACAATATATGAAATTCGGCATACTCTAGCATGCCTAAAATCCATCGGGAAAGTATGAAATGATTAAAAAAAATTTAATACAAGTGACAAAAAGATATACCTATGCGTATTGATAAGAAATTCTAATTCCTTTTTCCCTTTTAACGGATTTAAAAATAGGATGCCGTGAACTTAAATAAAATGACGTAAGACAACAGCTGGTAGACGCGAGCATTTTATGGGGCGACGTTGGTATTAGCGTTCACAATAAATATCAACTCAAATGAAGGTAGACATACGTGAACACATAATGTAGGAATAAAAGGAGGAGGGACAAAATGGGGACACGAAAAAAGCACCCACGTAAAAAAATTTGAAGGGGGTCACATATAGCCAACAACAGATTTGAAGAGACTTAAAGAGCTGTATCAACAGTACTCTTGGGGGCGTCATGACTTATTCCAGAATAAGACAAGAAAAAGAACTATAAAAATTTATCTTTCTCAGTAAATGGAAGTATTTCGTAGGGGATGTGTCTTCTGTCATTCTGTCCCTCTTTTAAGGGAGAATGGTTAATGCGGGTGCGAACAGAAAAATCCAAGATACCCAAGAGGGTACTGTTCTCAATTTAAGTTAGTATAAAAATACAATTTTTTTTCGAAAAAAAAAACTTAATTTTAATTGCAAGAGAAAATAAACTAAAAATACAAGACGAAAAATTTAATCACACAAAAATCTTCCAAAATTTAAATGCTTTAAAGTTATGCAACAATTTTTTCCTCAATAAATTTTAATTCTCATGATAGATAATTTTTAAATACAAATCTGGATTAAAATTTTAAGAAGTCAAGGTTACTAAGCAATGTAAAATAAATAACTCATAGCAAAGGTTATCAAGACACTGTATGTACGATTGCATTTGCAAAAATCTAAGCAATATAAAACTATCGCCAAAAAAATTTATACAAAATAAATTGTGAAGAAGATAACGTGCAACGAAAGCGAAATTTCATAAGATAAAAATAATACAGTTTTCCATTTTTTTATAGCAGAAGAGAAAATGTTTCGAGTTTAAATAAGTTTTTTAAGTCTGAAACATACCACAAAACAATAATGGTTGCAATTGTGATACATTAAAATAGAAAAATTAAAATTGAATTAAAATAGAAAAAAGTTTTTCCTTAAGTTAAACTTTACAGAGAAATCGTTTATTTAACTATTTTTAAATGAATATTGAATACGTTTGAAAAAATATTATGAGTACAATTAGGTGAAGATCGCATCTTAAAATAATTTACACAAATATTCTGAATTATTATTTTTCCGGCCGGGCTGTGAAGTGGTCAAGGAGTTGATTTCAAGTCAGAAAGGGCATTAGTTCGAACCCCGGATAAGGCAAGGATGTTTTTTCATTCTCTGTACTATCAGTCTTTACTGTGGGAGCAGCGTTGGTTCACCTAATATGGTACCCCTGAAAGAGTGGCCAATAAATCTGCCCTACTAATATGGTCCACCTAATATGGTACCCATGAAAGAGTGGCCAATAAATCTGCCCTACTGATGTGGTCCACCTAATATGGTACCCATGAAAGAGTGGCCAATAAATCTGCCCTACTGATATCTGGATGACGAATGAAATCATTTATCTTCTGCTTTAAAGTGTTATTAAGTATAACCTAAGCGTTTTTATAATTTTGTCTAACTAATTCTGTTTTCAAAAATAATATATTATATTCCTACTAATAATGTATTCCTACTTNCGTTGGTCCACCTAATATGGTACCCCTGAAAGAGTGGCCAATAAATCTGCCCTACTGATATGGCCACCTAATTTGGTACCCATGAAAGAGTGGCCAATAAATCTGCCCTACTGATATCTGAATGACGAGAGTCAATTGGATGGGCATTTGGAAATAAATCATTTATCTTCTGCTTTAAAGTGTTATTAAGTATAACCTAAGCGTTTTTATAATTTTGCCTAACTAATTCTGTTTTCAAAAATAATATATTATATTCCTACTAATAATGTATTCCTACTTAAGTATTAAGGGGAAGGGGATATACAAATATGATTCGATTCACTAACAATTACATACAATAGCTGAAATCTCATTTATAATACAGTAATTAAATGAATAATTCCAATAAACTGAAGAAATATTTGATGATTATGATTTAAAACTTAATTTGCTCCAAAATATTAAAGATAGTAATTGAAGTCAAAATGTTTCGAGTGTTTAAGAATAGACGCCCATTCCTATTACTCACCAGACGGGATTAAAGGAAACAAAATTAATTTGAAACAGAAAACATTAAGTTGCCAACAAAAAATTGCAAATAAGAATGAACAACAAAACTAAAAAAAAGTACGGTAACCGAGAGTGAAAAAACAAAAATAAAAAATACAGAGGCAAATTAAGGCAAAATTTATTTCCAAGCGCTATGGAGAGGTGGTGAAGAACTCATGTGATTAACAAGGGAATCGGCAGTCATATTTACGTTCTGCTAAATGTCATTTTGAGTTTCAAAGAGTCCAAAATTAAATAAATACAAAACTAAATAAAGATGCACAATGGTTATATTTATATTTACCACGCAATTTTAATTATTATAATTCGTAATAAGTGAACTATAATTCGTTTAGCAAAAAAAGTTTGCTTATAGCAAAGAATTGAGTCACACAGACAAGTCAGTTTGGCAGAAATCGAATAAAGTTTTATCAATTTACAATGCATGAAACAAAAGGTGATACAATCATTAAAAAGGTTGTAAACGCATTATAATTTAGAGGATAAAACATTAAATTTATCACTCTCTCAGTCATAAATTTTTTTTTATCACAAATCTTTTCATCAATCTTTACACAATGTGTCAAAGACAAACGATACAATTAAACAATTCCGGGAGTCCCCCATTTTTAGATAACTCTTATCATTCTAATTATCCCCCCGATTCTTTCCCCATGTTTATTGAAATGGAATCAAATTAAGAGTCCGGGAGGTTAATGGCCAACGATTGACTACTTGTACGTGCTCAAAATTAACAGCTTCCCGGATAGTTATCTTTATATAACGCGTGTGAAACGCTCTCATGCAGCCTTTAATCACCATCAAGGGAAGGGGGGTTGAAATAGGTTCATTTAGACTATCTCCCCTATGATAGGAAGCTGAAGCCGGCCCACAGCTGACGCTATTGAGGGTTGTTGTTTGTTACAAACGAGGACATCATCTGCTGGTGACGCCTACAAAAGTGCTTTCTTGGTATTTAATGAAAAGAATTTATGGGACAGCCGCTTTGAGAATAATACCGCTTCAAGCGAAATTTATAAATAGGGTGAGGATTTTTGGTAATGAGATCATATATATACCTATATAAAAAGATAAATAAATTTTAAAAACAATTGACGCATAATAATAATAATGCAAAACTCAATGTCAATTTAAGTTCTTTATCCATATAATTGAAAGTACTTCGGAATTCATTGAAAATTGGTTAGTCTA